AAGTACATATAAACAGCATTTAAAAATTTATTTACCCATCGTTTAATTTTTACAAAACCCATGGTTAGCAATTCATCATTAATATCTAGTGCGTTGTACTATTATTTAAGGCTTCTTATCACTCGAATAATTCGTTTTCTATTAGTGATAAGCAACCAATTCATTAATCATGTAAAAAGAACCATTCACAGCGCCTATGCTTTAGATTTTCTATTTATAAATACACTTGCAATCTTCAAATTTCTTCGAAGATCATTAATAAAAAAGTATTGAATGCGGCTTTACTTACACGTAGTGGAATTTATCATTTGATATTATATCCTTAAGCCATTATAAGCTTTAGGATATAATATCAAATGATAAGACAAAATCTTATCTAATGATAACACTAATAAAGTCAGATCATAGTATAGATCAAAGTAAGTCGTATTGTTTGCAACTATTCTAATCGCATATTAACTCAAGTAACGTTGTGTCTGCTGTATAGGTATGATTAAGTATTTGACACACGAAATGGAACTTTCGAAAGACCAGAACACTAATCCCTTGGCAGCAAAAGTTTTGCGCTCCGTCGTGTGCCGACAGACCGGAGTAGACTCGCAGAGCCAACTAAAGCGATGCGATTAAGTGTTTGAAAATTCCAAGTCTCTCTTTTTTTTCTATTCGGCTTAACCTAAACTTTATCCCCTAGTTTAGGCTTAACCTAAACTTTATCCCCTAGTTTAGGCTTAACCTAACTTTATCCCACTGCATTCGAATGTTTGTTTAGAACTATAACAACCCACTTCGTGGAGTTAATATTTTTATATTTTTTAAGCGTTGTCTTTTTTCTTTTCTTATAATAATAATAATAATAATTCTTTATTTGCCATAACCAAAAAAAAGAACAAAGAAAAATACACAGAAAAAAATATGAACAAAAAAGATATAAAATTAACCTATAATACACAAAAATATATAAATTTCATTTTGGCAAAAAGGTAATAAGCTCAGCGATTTCTAAGAATTTCTCAGTGCTGATTTTCAGCTTATCCCTTCTTAAAACCTACTACCTACATCGTCATTTGCAAAGATTGACAGCCGTAGTTGGCATATTTTTTCAGTAAGCTCTCAATACTATGATAATAACAATAATGTGTATCTAAAAATTACTACCGTACTGAACACCAAGGACAAGAAGGCAAAAAAGATATATACAAGAAAACAACCTAAAAAAAATCAAATTACAGTGAAAAATGCGAAAATTAAAAAAAATTGTTAATTAAAAGGTAATCACAAAAAGGTAATCATTAAGTTAAAAAAGTATTTAATTTTGAACCGAACACAAATTTTGCTTATTGAACAAGTAGAGCCTGAATTGTTTTGTAAAGGTATAGTTCGACACACTCATTCGTAGTGGTGGTGGTAAGTCATTCTTGTGTGCGTATTATGTAAGTTTATCCATATTCCTGTCGCATTTTAAATTCTAATTATGTCAAGCACCATTTTCTCGTTTCTTCTTTTGATTGCTAACAAAATAGTACCAAGTTTACTTTCACATTTTTGTAGACATATTTCAATACAGTTACCAACGGTTGACTTCATTTATCTGAAGTTAAGCATAAATTTTTTTACGATGAGATAGGTAACGAAGATATATCTTTAAGAACAGGATACGACATATTATGAAAAATATCTACATACAAAAGGCTTTTCTCTTCCAATAACCGTTATCTAAGCGAACATCTTACTTATTTTTCGATTTGTTATAGCAACAGTTTGCTTCCGTTTAATTTATTTGTAGTATTTCTGAAATAATTTCCAAAAGCTTCCGACCGCGGTTTCAATTTTTGCAAGATATTGTTTTGTGGAACCGAAAAATCAAATCATTTTGCATATATATTACAAAACATTTGATACATTCCCAAATATTTTTTTTATTTGTACTTTTACTCGGTAAGAGGCAAACCAGGTACTGGACTTCCATGGTGACAGTACACAGAGCGGAGTAGCGGTGTGAAGTAACTATTCAAACACTGTTACACATCCAGCCATTGTTAGTTAGGAGCCTTATTTATTTATTTATTTATTTATTAAAACAGCTTAAAAAGGGATTACAAAGGGCTAACTTATCGTGGTAGGTGCAATACGTACCCTTCCCTATATAACAGCATTCCCGGCTTGTAAAGTTAACCAACTACTCACTCGTTATTGTTACGATACAAATGAACTTTATACTTAGCTAACAATATCCGAGATTTCGTCATATATTTAATTCACATAACTTTCCACATTCTCTGATTGTAGTAACGTACAATCTCGAAACGTCATATAACGTGTTAGTAACAATAAAATGGTGAAAATGACAGACGCGACGGGCCTCTTTGATCAGTCCTCTCAATTTTTTTATGTTCTTTGCATTTACGTAATTCATCACAGTAATAAAACATGAATGTAAAATGTTAAAACCGGTGTGTATTTTAAAATTCCACCCCGGGGTTGTGAAACAAGATAACAGAAAAGGCGCATTGGTGATAAATGTTACTGCATTTTAATAACTGAAAGACTTGTATTTGTATGTAAGCATGATTAAATGAATACAGGAATATTTTCCATTTCCACATATTATACGCATGTTGTATTCCTCATACATTACGACAAAACGTTTTCAATTTATTATGGGATGTTTCCGTGACAAGTTATTTTTATTTTATAATTTAATTGAATAATTTAAACATTGAAAAAAAATGTCGTTATGTAAGCATGATTGTACTAGCATAATAACAATGCTTATAATCACGTCCTTTAAAAATTAAATACTGTACACATAAAAAAATCAACAACAAGTCTCTAACCACTAGGCAATTAATACGACAAGTCCGTTTATATTCATCGTTATTTTACGAGTAAATAGCTCATAAGCTAAAATAACCCGCAAAAACATATTCTACTGCCATCAGTAAAAAAGAAAAAAAGAGTAGTTATTATGTGTAAAAAATTCTAAATTACAAGTGAGGTTACATGTAAAGCATTCTAGGCTTAGAGCGCTGACAGTATTTCCGTCATTTCGACAGTTCACAACTTATTACACAATATTGCTGATTATGCATTCGTGAAGTCTCACGTTATATTAACTTATTTAATGAATGATTAGCCTTTGCGATAACGTATCTCAGAAAGACTGAGGCCGTAAATCTGAGACATCATAAAATAATCCGACTGAAACATCATCATCATGACATGTGCTGATGATGAAATTATGCATTACTACAATTACTAATTATCTAATATAAGTTAAAATAATCAATTTCGGAATACGCGAAATGATACATCAGCATAAAAGCGTGATGTATACCTTGGGAGATCATTAAATTATTTAGAAGGATATAATTAGAGATAAAGGTATAGTTAGCTATACCTTTTTTTAATGACGCACATAATATGTTATAATGGACTCTGTCGTATGAAAAGTCTAAGGAAGTAATCTCGCACTCAAAGTGCCCTTCCGTGAATTACGTATGGCAGACGCTCTAAAAGGATCTGAATTTGTGAAATTATGGTTTCCATAATAACACATAAACAGTGTTTCCCTAAGTGCTGCTATAGTTCTCTGAATGTCTTAGAAATCGAATATTTTGATGATGATTAAGAAAAGATAATGATTGAAGAATAGATGAAATTAAAATAATTGTCCAAATAACTTCCTTTCGACCCATATTTGGAAACTGCAGGAATTTGTTATTTAGCAAATTATGTCTCTTTTTTACTTTAATTATGTCTCTCAAAGGTCTCTTCCATGCATTTATAGCATGTTTAATAACGGTAGTCAATCTGTCGGAAATTGTGTATGCTAAAATTAATTAGGTTCTTGATTGTATATTAACTTATTTCAGAAACATGACTTACTATTTACCCAAAATTACGTGCTCTACGATTAAACATATTTTTAGTCAATACGACTACTAAAACGCAATTTTTCAATTTCAATTTAAAAAGTTACAAATGATCTTTTTCTTCCGGTCACGTTTATTAATAGCTTGTAATCCTAAATTAAAAACATGTAACGACGTGAGAACATAACGAGGTGAGTTATTTGGTAAGTCGCTTGTTTTATCGTTTTGTTATATAACAGATATTTTTAATTCAATTAGATTTATATCTAAAAAGAAATCTGTTTTCATATACAGAACATCAATAATATTATATGAAAGACTGAGTAACTGATATTTATTGTCAAAATATTTATTGTTTTTCAGATAGTTCGCAAGAATTTAATGATGGAAATGACTGCTTCCTAAAAATTTAGACGTGATTTTTAGTTTTAACTTTTAAAACACATTACAAAACAGAATATAAAGGTACAAAATTCAGAACAATTACAATCGTAGTATTTTTTGTGTTTTAGAATTGTAGCCTTACGTCGGTCTTTTATACTTGTTGCGCGATTCACGGTGTCCACAATATTCTTCAATACACTAATTCAAATCCATTAAGTCAGTAGAAAAGCGTAATATATATCCAAATATTTTAATCTTTTTCAATTTCATTTCGTAACAATAATTCAGATACTGCATAATCTTTGATTATAAAAAAATCTAAGTTTACTAAAAATAATATAATTTAATCTTCTTGAAATACAGACTGAAAATCTGTATTTTACGGTCTTAAGTAGAAACAAAAATATGTCATGTTAATTTTTATTTGTCTTAACATCAAATATTAATCTATTTTAAGGTTGAAGAAATATTACATGTAAAAATAAAAAAAAATACATTTTGAAATATATTGCACACATTAACACGAATAGATATTGTATACTGTAATGAAACCCACATAATTATGGTCTTTTTTTAATTTTCTGCCTTTCGAATGCCTTCATACATTCTGTAGACAGGAGACAAACGTCCTGTAAAATGTTCTAAACTTCGTGAATTTCAAAAACTAGTTAAGCGAGATAAAATCTTCCCTTTGTTAAAAATTCTGCGTAACTTTTACGAAAGTTGAAAACAAATCTAACTCACCTCTGAGGATAGTTGGAGTGCAGTCGCGAAGCAGTGACTAAATAAACGCTCAGTTGGTGTACGAGTGATCAGAAAGTTTCCACAAATTTAAACTGGCGCACTGCACTGGACGTTACGTGCGGAAGGGGGACTATCTCGATAATGTGCCTGGAGGTTCTGTCGCAAGTCCTCTGTGGGAACGTTTGAGCGCGCCAAAGTTGTGCGGCGTTGGGTTGGTGCCGCGCGCTTATATCCGGCGGCGGTCAGGGCATCCGCGCATGCGCCAACACCATTCATGTCATCACCTCAATGACCGCCTCCTCAGCACCCCCAATCACATATCAACTAGTTGAAAGTTATGAACGATCTGAACGTAAATGATTCGTCGATTTAAAAAATCGTTAGGGCAGATTTAAATGTAACATAACTTCCGTATGGTCTAGATCCGCAATGCGATATGCATATCGGAGCGCTCCTATTTCCGTTTAACTAGATGAGTTAATATTGAATGTTAGAATCAATTAAACTTTCCCCTTAATGTGTTAACAACAATCGCGTTACGCGAATCACTGTCACGGCAGTTTCCATGGTTCTCCATTATGACGCAAACTTTTTATATAGAAATGACGTTCAAAGTTTCCGTAACAAGCCTCTCAATTGTCTAGAATAGTTATTTCATATCACACGCCCGATATAAATTATCGTTTATATTGTTCAATCCTTTCAAAGTAGGGTTCCGGACGTAACAGGATCAAAAGTTTGGTCAAAGATACAAGTTGCATTGACTCCGAACGGTTGTTAAATCCATTTCGTATAGTTTAAGCCTGTAAAAGTTGGTGCGCTAGATGCTTATACTTTCCTCTTATTTAACCCAAGCAGATACATAAATATAGTGGAGTATTGTGGAATCGTAATTAGTTTATTAAATGAGCGAATGCTGCTATAGAATGATACAATGTATATAAAAAAATTATTTAAGTTTTCAAATAGAATTAATATTACTAAACAATGCTTAAAACTGATGTCATCGTGCTTTAAGTATGTCCAGATGTAAAGAGGAACATCCCTGAGAGACCTTACATGGTTTCAAACCTACTTTAAACATGTAGGATCACGTGGCAACTTCAGCTGTTGCACGAATGTGTAGCCTTATCCGGGAAAGTACTTCGAGAACACCGGCGAAAAGTAGAAATATCTATACATATAAGTTTCTGAACTATACATATTAAGGGCCCACTTCTGCATACTTTCAAAGGTTGGTAACGCATCAACACACCCACAGGTATTGTGTACTTTCATGGGCGGTAATAATTAACATGTAAACTGTGTGCTCTCTTGTCTCTTTCACCCATAAAAATATGAGTGTATCAAAGTTATTGATGCTCAACATACCTTATTAACTTCGAAGTTACATATACATATTTCACTATTTATCTTTGTCTGTGTGTAATTGTAGTGTATTAAATTAACCATATATCTCTCACTACTCAAAACAACAACGACCAAAACTAAGAAAACGGCTGAATTGAACTCCCAAATTCGTTATTTTTAGCAAATGGATTTCAGTTTGTTTATGAGTTATTCATTGTTTGAATGGTGCAAATACGTGACACGTCCTAATGTAAACATTAAAATCTTGCTTCAAATTTACAACTCACTTTGTCATCATTCAAACGACTACGTTCATAAAGTTGGAGAAATTACAAGAGCTTTGTGTATCTTATTACGAACCGAATTTATTTGCCAGGTTAACTCTTCAACTGTCATTACACGCTACAATAAATTAATTGTTCCAAATTACCTATCTCCTTGTACAAGTCAACCATTCTATGTCGAAATTGAAAATAAAATTTTTTTTTATTTAAAAATTTTATTAACTGTTGTCCACGGGTTATTTGGAAGGTCATTTCATAAGGATTGGCGTATGTAATTCTATAGCATAAACAAACTTTTCATATCTTTGAAAATTTAAAAAGTGTTTCAAACAATGTGGATGCAATCAACGCTTGAAAGAATCAAAATTTTTAAACAGAAAAATACACAAGAAATACTTACATGTTATCCAATATGTGACACGATTAAAATAACTTAAGACTTCATTTGATCGCAGAGTATTTTCTATGACCTGATTATATTAAGCCGTTGATACTATATAACACATAGAAACTCTTATCTATACTGATTCGAGGTCTGTGGTGGAATAGGCTATGTTTTTCTAACAACTAGTAGGCAAAATATCGATCATCAGTGTTGGCAATGAACCCTCAAGGTTCCCGCACATTTGCGTGCCGATTTGTATACCATGCAGTTTTAGTTCTACAACTAAAATGTACGTAATCAGTTTTTTTTATATCCGCTACTGTTTATCAACTAAAGTTCATTTGCTTGAAGTTAGAAAAAATATGTCGGTCCACTGGGTCGAACCCGCTACTACGCGTGTGAGGTTGTAGAAAGAATCTAGTGAATAATTCCAATAATATCACTAGCTATTTCATTTTTTTTGTCTTGCATTTTTTTTTGTGTTGCATTTCGTGATGCTGGCCGCGTATTTTTATAATATAATAGTTGTTAAAAAGAGAACATGTTTAAATTATTTTAAAAGAATTTTTTACCGATCTCGTAGTTAAACAATATTCAAATAGCAATGGCTACATCTTTATGTATAACTAGCTGCTGCCCGCGACTACGTCTGCGTAGAGGGGTGAAAATTTAGGGTTGTATGTAATTTTGTATGCTGTATCATTAAAAAATAGAAATAAAAAATTTTGTCTAAAAAATAAAAAAAATTTAGGGGTGGACTACCCCTAAATTTAGGGGGATGAAAAATAGATGTTGGCCGATTCTCATAGATACCGGATAAGCACAAAAAATTTCATCAAAATCGGTCAAGCCGTTTCGGAGGAGTATGGCAACGAAAACTGTGACACGAGAATTTTATATATTAAAGATAAATGTTATAAAGCATAAAATGGTGCTTGAAAATCTACTATACTTTATATTTTATAACATTGAGTGCTTTAACAGTGATTTAAGGTATACCTTTAAAAATTTCAATAATGATAAGTATACTGCTAAGATGCATTATATCTAAATATAATCAGGCATTTGGCTTAGCATAGCTAGTAATTGAGGTCTTGACTTGTCCATGTTTATTTTATTGTTCGAAAACATTAAGCTTACATATATTGCACTCAACAAATATTATACCGTAAAATAAAAATAAAAAGGGCTACATTTAAAGAAACTCACATTGGTATAATCTAATTTACATATTTTGATTCTTCAGGAATATTAGAGTTTATCTGCCTTAACAACTGATCAAATGAAGCGAATCACTGAAAATATCGTATCTATTAACGCTCCAGATATTCCATGTCCCCCTGAATTCTTTACGAGGCAAACAAGACAGTAATTAATATTTTTATTGCGACACTCATCAATATTAATCTTCGCAGGGAATTGATTTTACTTTACATTACAATTATTCATTGACATCGATTTGCTATTCGAGTGAATGGTGAAATTCCATAGGTTCTCATCACAGACAATCCACACGTTTTATTTAATTTGTCTCGTACTTATTACTTAAATACTACTTACTTCCTATTTTACATATTAATTTCCAATCAGTAGATTACTTCTGATTTTTTAAAATACAAATGATACTTTTTATATATCTATTCCATTCAATAATGCATCTACGATTAAATAAAAAGAAAAAGTTTGCAGCGATACAAGATAATGTAATGGAAAGTTATTCCAAAATAATGTTTCTTCTGTGGCTCATGCCATGTATGAGCTTCTGCCGGGAAGTAAAGACCTCACAGAAGAAGGCCAGCGTGAAATAGAAGTATTTTAATTTTTGTTTTTTTTTAGATTCAGTTTTGTTAATAGACAATCATAAATAATAATGTTGTATATTATAACTAAGACATTAACGTCATCCCATTTTAAAGTACGACATTGCCGCAACAGTACGCTTTTCACTTTAAAACACTTACATGGACTAAACTGGCTTTTGAATTTTGATAGAATTTGTTCGAGTCAAACATGCAGTTGGAAATCAAAGAAGAAGCATCCTGAGAAATTATGCAATTGGTTCATTTTATAGAGGAACAGATAATCAAGGTCATTGTTGTCGGTAAACACAAGGCTGTGTCATCTCAACCCTCTTCTATTGCACATCAACGCATACTTAACTCGTAGCTATCTATTATATACATATGTTTCATTTCGATAAATTACGAAATGATACTTAAGAATATCCCAGTTCCTAAGTATACAAGGATTTATGTGCTTTTTGATAAGATAAATTTTTAACGTAACGCTAACTCCAACCACACAGTGTACGCATGGTCAGCAACACCGTGAACATTTGGTCTCATATAGAACACTGTTCTCATCTCACAACTAGTGGAATCCAATAACAACATTTGCTATTTAGCGTCTAACGTAGAACTGGCAGATTTTTCACTGTTCTGTATGTTCTACGTTTCATCTATCCACCAATGCTATTTACCAACCTACATTTCGATAAAATTCTAATCATCTCGATGTCTCCTTGATGGTTGTTTTGAACACATCGGGCAATTTAACACTTATTTTAATGTCCAAGAATACATTGAGGACAAGGATGTGTAGAAATGATTCTTGCTCCGGTGGTAGTTTTCTTACGTTCAATAAGAACTTAAGTTAAACCTATATATAAAGATGATTTGTGTATACCGTATATAAAGATATTTTGACTTTTGACTTTTGTAATTTATTACTTCTAATTATAAATGGCACTAACGCCCTTAAAAGCCTTATATGTATAAGAAGCCTAATGTCATCGTGACATGTGTTAAATTAGCAAGACCCACAGGTTCCCAATTATTCACCTTATATTAAATCAAAACAAAATAAAAAAAGCTATTCATATCTTACTTCGAACCTATTGCAACGTTGACGAATGATCTAGCGATGATAATCAGGTAATCAGAATTTACAAATAATTTACATATTAGTTACAAATAGATTTTCTATAACACACAGGTTTGCACAAACTGATGTTCCTTCCTATTGCATTGTTTAATATAATCGCTGAAAATAAAGCTAAAGGATCGTATCCTTGCATAGTCACAGATATTTCCTAAGCAATAAAACATTACAACAAGCGATATAAAAAAATCGACTATGCATATCGCATAACATGGCGATCCGATTGGCGTGGTGGATAGTGCACCTGTTTTGCATCAGAATGTGTGAGTGTTCGATCCCCACTACTGAAAACATAGTGTCTCTCTAAAGCCTGGGTGTTAATAAATTTATAGTATATAACATGTATTTATTTACAAAAGAAAAGTATGTGTATTCTGTACAAGTATACTCATAGTACAAGATTTGTTGCTTAGTTTAAAAGTAGGTAATCAGTACATAGTATAAAACAAAGTCGTCCCGCTGTCTGTCTGTCTCTATGTATACTTAGATCTTTAAAACTACGCAACGGATCTTGATGCGTTTTCCTTTTACTAGATTGTACCCATGCGAAGCCGGGGCGGGTCGCTAGTCTATTTATATAAGCTGATTGAAATGCTTATATATATGAACACCTCCGTTGTTTATATTTATATTTATTACAAAGAGACGACAACTGAGCAGGAAGTTTTCCTTATGAAGGCTATTGTATCGAAGGCTGTGAGCACACCACCAACGATCTTGCAGACGTTTTGCTCAACTCTGAGAATATTTGTGTCCGGTTACAACGCACTTACCTAACGAAGCGCAAAGTTTATACTTTTACATCACGGCGGTATTCTGTCAGGTTTTGGTACTTCCCTGAAGCTAACCTTTTTGTGGAACAGGGCCTGTTTTGTAAGCTGTTTTCTATACCACACACAAATATTTTGCGTTATGTGCTCAGATGTAATGAAATATTAAACGTCATATAGCAAAAGACACTATTTTTATAGTTGAATTATTAATGACAAGAAGTGGTCAAAGATCTTCTCAGTCTTAACATATACAATGGGAACATATTCATTCAATTAAGACGACATCAACGTCCAATGTTTCTAGTATATATTCTGTATTAGTTTATCATTTGAAGGTTATTTAAGTTTGCTTATAGCCTTTTACTAGATATAATTTTTAAGATGTTAATTATATTAATTCATTTTAAATATGTGTTTGAAACTGGGGTTACTGCTTATGTCTGATAAGAAACTCTCATTTCTTCACTATTGACGAATAAATGTAGAGTTTTATATGAATATTGATTGATGTTTAATGTTTTTCGAATATTGTATCAAAGTGTCAGACATTGTTTTCTGCCTTCATAGCCGATCTCACGACTAACATGCGCGTCCTGACAACTGGCGATGGCAACAAATTTACATTTTAATTGAGTGTGCCATAGCGTTTTTGGCACACTTACACCCGGCTAGTCACGACTTTCCTGATACTGGAAAATCACCGTCGTCGCATGACATCAAATCGCGTATGACGGACCCTTAATAGGTTATTGTAATTTTCAAACGCTATCGTATTGGTTAGATTGAACAATATATGTTGATTGACAGTTTTTTTTTTTTATGGGAAAAGTTGTCAAACGAGCAGACGGTTCACCTGATGTTAAGTGAATACCGCCGCCCATGGACATCTGCCACACTCGAGGGTTACAGATGCGTTGACAACCTTTTGAAAATTGGGCTCCGGCCACCTCACTCACCAGACGAAACGCGAAAGTATTTGTCATACTTCCACTTTACGCTGGTCTTCTGTGAGGTCGTGGTACTTACCCGGACGGACCTGCCCATTCGTACAACAGCCGAGGCTGTTGCGTGGCCCTACCACCGTAAAAGTTTAGGTAAAACCTCATTTTGATGTAATAAAAGGTAAAAATGTGAAATTTCACATTAATAAATTTTTGTTTGAACAGAACTCCTATTTGATACATACCATGTACCCTAAAATATGGTTTTAACTTTGTCTTTTAAACTTTTCTATGTTGTTGTCTAAGCTTTATACATATAATTATATATATATAACCTACCTACCCACAAAACTATAATTACTACTAACACATTATCATTTTTAAAAAATAATTTGTTTCGAGTTAAGAAGCCACAATATAGCCCATATTACCAATTAAATGTTTTGATAATTTTACCATTTGTAAGATTACATTCAGAAACTAAAATTTGTTTTTAAGTGACGTACTTAACATTAGGATAGATTCCAATGTATAAATATTATGGTATAAAAATATTTTTATTATTTCTTTACAGCTTGCAGAAAATTGTACTTATATCGTCTGTTGTCTAAATGGAGAAAAAGAAGAAAAAAAAGATTATTATCATTATATAATTCAAGAGATTAAATACGAAGAAAAAGAATTGAGATTTTATTTATTAAAGCTGTGCTCAAATTATTACACATTTTTCACACAGCTTTTCGCATAATCATATGGATACCATGTTCTCTTTTCTTCTCGATCAAAGGAGTGTTTACCTTTGTTTAATAACGTCCGTTTTGATTCTTATCATTTATGTACATATTCTCGGTATAGACTGGAGAAATCTTACTGAGCCGGAAGAAATAGACTTGGGATCCGTGCGCCTTATGACTGGGATTTGTCGGAATAAACTCCGACGTAACCGTTCTAATTAAAATTATTTTTTTCCGGGTGATCATGGTTTACCTCTCAAGTCTTAATACCGCTTGGGTCACGAAACATTTTTAAAATAAATATACTTTATCAAAGACTTAATTTCTTTTCTTTGTCGATGCCTATCTAAAATACAATCCTAGATTCGGAGTATTTGAAAAGTTCAGTGGTCTGAATAACGTCGCAATAAACTACACGGAATATTACTCCATCGTAATAAAACTGATGCGTTGTTTGTATATTTGTCCGTAGAAACATCAACAGGACCGGATGAGTTAGAGTATTAATTTGCATGTACACTAGAAATCATCTCACATCATGATATATTTTAAATCAGTCCTAGAGACTAAGAAGAGTCTTTTCCCCCGTAATACATGATCGTCTGAAGCCATCTATTTTGAGATAGTTAAATAATATAGTACCATAATTACCTTTTGTAATACATTTTAATATGAAGCCAACTATTTTGATATTGTTTATTAAATCATACCATTCTCTTCTATCAATCCGGGACGTTAAACACTTGCTAGACTCAATCAATTATTTAACACGCATATCTTCGTCCAGTTGCTTCAATTCCCTCTGAATTGTACTGACATTCGCGAAGCACGCCATCTTGTTATCAGCCATCTGTTTCGTGCTCATCGAAGCTAAGCCCAATAAACGGGCCCTCTGCACTAATAGATCGCCCGCCCTCACGGGGCATCGTGAAAGGTGCTTCACGCAGATCGCATTGTTGTGACGCAAATTGTCTATAAAACTGACCGAACTGAGTGTTGTTGTCGGGTACGTGTACAGTGACTAGCTGCCGGGATAAGGACCTCTCGCCCCGCAACGGTCTCCCGATGATGAACGCGTGCGATTGATCCGTAGGTTTACCGATACCAATAACGCTCGCGCACGGAAACATTTTCTTGTTCGTGGATAGCATCGCTAAGTTATTCGACGAAACCCGCTCGACAACGCCCACCGCGAATCCTTTTTTACAACGTTGGCTGTAATTAGAATACACATCTAAGTTTGGACCGGTGAGTCTCATGCTATGCTATATTAAGGCTTTTTCAAAACTATCAAAATAATGTACTGAAAAGAAGACCCGTAAGAAAACCGCAAAGAATATCATTGTAACTGAAATTATTTATTAATAAATAATTTAGCTTCCGTATGTTTATGTCCACAAATTCAAAAACTAGCCAATGAATTGATTTGATATTTGTTCACAACATAGCTCTTAAATAGAAGATTCTTTATAAACACTTTATTCCGAAGTTCCAACGGATGTCAACAAAAGCGGGTTCAACTAGTAAGAAATAACAAGAAGCTAATACGACTATACATACTTTCAACTAAAAATAGTAATGGTATTGTGAATAAAACCTTAACAAATATATTCACGCACTCTGTGGTACTTCCCACATATATGCGAACTGGTCCAGATTTCAGACATATTTCGTTTGTTAAAACTGAGGTATGGCTTATTACAGCACCCAAGCATATCGGCTTCTGAGTTGATAAGGAATGAATTCTGGCGGCATAAAGGTATTCATCCACTTTCACAAGGTTACAATATATTTCTCCGCTCCTGAAAGACTTACTAGGTACGAACTTTTTGTAATGAGTAACGAAATTATTAATTATCATCCCCATTGTTGCCACAATTATTGCTAAAAGAAGAAATAATACGAGTACTTTACTCCTTTTTGTGCGATCATCCCATGGAATATTTATAAAATTGTAAGCAAAATCGTTTTCATCAAAGTCTACGCTGTCTTCAATCACTTTATTGTTATCGTTCGTAATTTCTTCCATGACAGTGAATGCAACATCAATAGGATAAGATTATTTTCCAATATACAAATCAAAACAGAATAAAATTCAAAATCTACGTAGCTTCGACATTTCAGATGCAATCATTCTAATGGGATAGAAATAATATCGAAGCATAACGTTATTTGGACGGGTTCTATCGTATATTTATAAGAATTTATTATTAATATATATATATATATATATTAAGAATTTATTAATATATATATATATATATATAATCGGAAACTGCTCCAGCGATTTTCATGAAATTTAGTATGTGCCATTCTCATATAAAATCATACCATTCTCTTCTATCAATCCGGGACGTTAAACACTTGCTAGACTCAATCAATTATTTAACACGCATATCTTCGTCCAGTTGCTTCAATTCCCTCTGAATTGTACTGACATTCGCGAAGCACGCCATCTTGTTATCAGCCATCTGTTTCGTGCTCATCGAAGCTAAGCCCAATAAACGGGCCCTCTGCACTAATAGATCGCCCGCCCTCACGGGGCATCGTGAAAGGTGCTTCACGCAGATCGCATTGTTGTGACGCAAATTGTCTATAAACTGACCGAACTGAGTGTTGTTGTCGGGTACGTGTACAGTGACTAGCTGCCGGGATAAGGACCTCTCGCCCCGCAACGGTCTCCCGATGATGAACGCGTGCGATTGATCCGTAGGTTTACCGATACCAATAACGCTCGCGCACGGAAACATTTTCTTGTTCGTGGATAGCATCGCTAAGTTATTCGACGAAACCCGCTCGACAACGCCCACCGCGAATCCTTTTTTACAACGTTGGCTGTAATTAGAATACACATCTAAGTTTGGACCGGTGAGTCTCATGCTATGCTATATTAAGGCTTTTTCAAAACTATCAAAATAATGTACTGAAAAGAAGACCCGTAAGAAAACCGCAAAGAATATCATTGTAACTGAAATTATTTATTAATAAATAATTTAGCTTCCGTATGTTTATGTCCACAAATTCAAAAACTAGCCAATGAATTGATTTGATATTTGTTCACAACATAGCTCTTAAATAGAAGATTCTTTATAAACACTTTATTCCGAAGTTCCAACGGATGTCAACAAAAGCGGGTTCAACTAGTAAGAAATAACAAGAAGCTAATACGACTATACATACTTTCAACTAAAAATAGTAATGGTATTGTGAATAAAACCTTAACAAATATATTCACGCACTCTGTGGTACTTCCCACATATATGCGAACTGGTCCAGATTTCAGACATATTTCGTTTGTTAAAACTGAGGTATGGCTTATTACAGCACCCAAGCATATCGGCTTCTGAGTTGATAAGGAATGAATTCTGGCGGCATAAAGGTATTCATCCACTTTCACAAGGTTACAATATATTTCTCCGCTCCTGAAAGACTTACTAGGTACGAACTTTTTGTAATGAGTAACGAAATTATTAATTATCATCCCCATTGTTGCCACAATTATTGCTAAAAGAAGAAATAATACGAGTACTTTACTCCTTTTTGTGCGATCATCCCATGGAATATTTATAAAATTGTAAGCAAAATCGTTTTCATCAAAGTCTACGCTGTCTTCAATCACTTTATTGTTATCGTTCGTAATTTCTTCCATGACAGTGAATGCAACATCAATAGGATAAGATTATTTTCCAATATACAAATCAAAACAGAATAAAATTCAAAATCTACGTAGCTTCGACATTTCAGATGCAATCATTCTAATGGGATAGAAATAATATCGAAGCATAACGTTATTTGGACGGGTTCTATCGTATATTTATAAGAATTTATTATTAATATATATATATATATATATTAAGAATTTATTAATATATATATATATATATATATAATCGGAAACTGCTCCAGCGATTTTCATGAAATTTAGTATGTGCGTAGATTCGGGGGCGAAAAAAAAATAAAAATTCGGGGATCTAGCTAGGTTTCATTTTTAGAAAACGTCCTTTTATCCCTGTTTTCAAGGCATGAAAAATATCATTCGAATATGACAGTAAATTTCGCCGCAAAAAAAATGTTATAATAGCTCGGTCGGTAATGGGGCGGTCATTCACACACTTATTTTTTTACTTTTTTTTCTATACCAGATCAGTTTCTTTATTTTTCATTTTTTTTATTTCCAAAATACATGATTTACCAAAAAAAACCGAGCAAAGCTCGGTAATCCAGGTACTAATTTTTATTCGACCATTGTTCCATCTTTGATTTGCTGCAGGAAAACTATAAAAATAATCTTAATCAATACTCTGTGGCGCAGTGGCCAAGGTATTGGCTTCGGCGTCGGGGGCCGTGGGTTCGATTCCCACACGGGACAACTATTTGAGTGACCCACAGATAGTTGTTTCGCATCTGGCTGTTTGTCCGTGTGAAATTTATGTTTGTAAAACGTCCTTACAACACAGGATAAAGTTATCCTAAATTACGGGCAATGTTTTTAAAAAAATACTAACAAATAATTACAAAGAACACAATAAAATGGGTTACAGTTTAGGTAAACCATTTTATTGTGTTCTTTGTGACCACTTTGTGTCCTCGCGAAAATTACTCATTTAATTGCAGAATCACATATACCTACATCTGTTAAGGTTTTGTGTTTCGTGAGCAATGACTATATTGTCAAAAATACAATAAATATAAATAGTCCTGTTATTTTACTACTCCATAGATCTTACACCATTCGAAATAGTTATCGCGTGAATGTCTTCCACTATTCAAAATTTTATTTAATTAACTAGTTTTATTTTTTTCTATTTTTTTTACATTATTTAAATTTAACTGCAAATAAATTTATAGTATTCGTTAACAATTCCTAAAAAAAATTCTTATAAATATACGATAGAACCCGTCCAAATAACGTTATGCTTCGATATTATTTCTATCCCATTAGAATGATTGCATCTGAAATGTCGAAGCTACGTAGATTTTGCATTTTATTCTGTTTTGATTTGTATATTGGAAAATAATCTTATCCTATTGATGTTGCATTCACTGTCATGGAAGAAATTACGAACGATAACAATAAAGTGATTGAAGACAGCGTAGACTTTGATGAAAACGATTTTGCTTACAATTTTATAAATATTCCATGGGATGATCGCACAAAAAGGAGTAAAGTACTCGTATTATTTCTTCTTTTAGCAATAATTGTGGCAACAATGGGGATGATAATTAATAATTTCGTTACTCATTACAAAAAGTTCGTACCTAGTAAGTCTTTCAGGAGCGGAGAAATATATTGTAACCTTGTGAAAGTGGATGAATACCTTTATGCCGCCAGAATTCATTCCTTATCAACTCAGAAGCCGATATGCTTGGGTGCTGTAATAAGCCATACCTCAGTTTTAACAAACGAAATATGTCTGAAATCTGGACCAGTTCGCATATATGTGGGAAGTACCACAGAGTGCGTGAATATATTTGTTAAGGTTTTATTCACAATACCATTACTATTTTTAGTTGAAAGTATGTATAGTCGTATTAGCTTCTTGTTATTTCTTACTAGTTGAACCCGCTTTTGTTGACATCCGTTGGAACTTCGGAATAAAGTGTTTATAAAGAATCTTCTATTTAAGAGCTATGTTGTGAACAAATATCAAATCAATTCATTGGCTAGTTTTTGAATTTGTGGACATAAACATACGGAAGCTAAATTATTTATTAATAAATAATTTCAGTTACAATGATATTCTTTGCGGTTTTCTTACGGGTCTTCTTTTCAGTACATTATTTTGATAGTTTTGAAAAAGCCTTAATATAGCATAGCATGAGACTCACCGGTCCAAACTTAGATGTGTATTCTAATTACAGCCAACGTTGTAAAAAAGGATTCGCGGTGGGCGTTGTCGAGCGGGTTTCGTCGAATAACTTAGCGATGCTATCCACGAACAAGAAAATGTTTCCGTGCGCGAGCGTTATTGGTATCGGTAAACCTACGGATCAATCGCACGCGTTCATCATCGGGAGACCGTTGCGGGGCGAGAGGTCCTTATCCCGGCAGCTAGTCACTGTACACGTACCCGACAACAACACTCAGTTCGGTCAGTTTATAGACAATTTGCGTCACAACAATGCGATCTGCGTGAAGCACCTTTCACGATGCCCCGTGAGGGCGGGCGATCTATTAGTGCAGAGGGCCCGTTTATTGGGCTTAGCTTCGATGAGCACGAAACAGATGGCTGATAACAAGATGGCGTGCTTCGCGAATGTCAGTACAATTCAGAGGGAATTGAAGCAACTGGACGAAGATATGCGTGTTAAATAATTGATTGAGTCTAGCAAGTGTTTAACGTCCCGGATTGATAGAAGAGAATGGTATGATTTTATATGAGAATGGCACATACTAAATTTCATGAAAATCGCTGGAGCCGTTTCCGATTATATATATATATATATATATATATATATATATATATTTATAACAATTAAATGAGTAATTTTCGCGAGGACACAAAGTGGTCACAAAGAACACAATAAAATGGTTTACCTAAACTGTAACCCATTTTATTGTGTTCTTTGTAATTATTTGCTAGTATTTTTTTAAAAACATTGCCCGTAATTTAGGATAACTTTATCCTGTGTTGTAAGGACGTTTTACAAACATGAATTTCACACGGACAAACAGCCAGATGCGAAACAACTATCTGTGGGTCACTCAGATAGTTGTCCCGTGTGGGAATCGAACCCACGGCCCCCGACGCCGAAGCCAATACCTTGGCCACTGCGCCACAGAGTATTGATTAAGATTATTTTTATAGTTTTCCTGCAGCAAATCAATGCTCGGTTTTTTTTTTTGGTAAATCATGTATTTTGGAAATAAAGAAAATGATCTGGTATAGAAAAAAAGTAAAAAAATAAGTGTGTGAATGACCGCCCCATTACCGACCGAGCTATTATACCATTTTTTTTTTCGGCGAAATTTACTGTCGTATTCGAATGATATTTTTCATGCCTTGAAAACAGGGATAAAAGGACGTTTTCTAAAAATGAAACCTAGCTAGATCCCCGAATTTTTATTTTTTTTTTCGCCCCCGAATCTACGCACATACTAAATTTCATGAAAATCGCTGGAGACGTTTCCGATTATATATATATATATATATATATATATATATATATATATTAGGTATTATATATATATTAGATTCCATCAAAAACAAGCTTAACATGTACTACTTTAGATACAAAGGATTTGTATACCTACCATGAAAAATTAACAATATTTATCCATAAACACACTTATGGTAATATACTGCATGATGTCAGGACGAGCACATCTTGCAGTATATATCCATAAGTATCTCTGTCTTTTTGTATCCAGTATGTAAAGTCGTTAATTCTTGTAACGACTCGGTAAGGACTTTTCCAGTTTGAATAAAGTTTTGGAGACCTTCCCTTCCGTTGTACAGGATTATAAAGCCATACCAAAATTCCTTCATCAAACCCTTTATGCGATCATATCTCGTCTTCATCCTGTCACTATCTTGAAATCAAATTCAAATTTAAAATATCTTTATTCACATAGACCCTTCGCGTTCTTATATTTTATATAAAATTATAACGTTCGTAAGTAAGTTAGCACCGGTTCGGAAAGCAGTTTCTGTTTAATAGAAACGAGCAAGAAACTTAAAATTTGCTTCTTCTATATGGGCAAAAATGTCTTGCATCCGCTCCCTTCACTCGTTTGCATCTATTATGTTTTTGTTTTCATTAAGGGTCTAGTCTACTTGTCTTTCGAAATTAGCATATGCAATTGTAATTGTAGTGCTTTCATGAAGAGCAGTTCTTTAAAACAAAAAGAGAAGAAACAGCGGAATAAAATCTTTCTACTGGCCATTTACTAATTTGGCCATGTGACGTTCCATAGTTTGGTTAAATCGTTCAAAAATTCTTGTTTTATCACTGTAAATTTCCAAGAGTAGACCGAATCTCCTAAATACTTCGTTAAACAACATCTTAGCGACTGTAACTCCCTCCTAATTAGCTATGGAAAAGGTTTCGTGCTATTTTATAAAATAATCCATCACAAAAGGTGTGGAAATCAGCCGTTTAGCTTAGTGGCTAAAAGCATCAGGCCGCGAATTCCGAAGACGTGGGTGCGATTCCCACAGCGTTACATATTTTAATTTTAATAATCCATCACTACCAGAATGAAACGATTCCCCTTTTGTCATTATAGCTATGTTGTTTTTTCTTTTGAAAAATTACACGTTAATTTACACATAACACTTTTAGCAGATTCACCGTATTTAGATACAAATATTTCATTAATTAGTGCAGTACAGCAACAAGATCAGATTTTTAAAAAGATTTTATGAATAAGTTAAGTAATTTTGAATCTTAACAGCATGCAAATAAGATCTGTTTCATTTAAATACTAAGCATGGTAAATATTTGATGACTCCGTGGCGTTGTTGCCAAGGTATTGGCTTCGACGTCGGGGCTCGTGGGTTCGATTCCCACACGGGACATCTATTTGTGTGGCCCATAGATAGTTGCTTCACAGCTTGTTGCTTAGTGTTTGTCTGCGTGAAATTTATGTTTGTAAAATGTCCTTATAACACAGGATAATGTTATCCTAAAGTAAGGGCAATGTTTTTAAAAAAAAAAAGATAATAAAAAGATACTAATTTTAAAAGCATGGAAAAACTCTGTTTCATTTATATACGAATCATGGTATTATTAACGATGTCTTTAAATTTTGTTTAGCCTTGCACGGCCGTAGCTAGGGGGGGGCATTGTAGGGCAATGCCCTACCTTAAAATCACAATGCCCTACCTTAAAATACCAAAATAAAAATGCGTAAATATCACCACGTTTTTCAATTTCGTACACGTCTCAAGTGATTTTCCATCCTACTTCGCCGGAATTTGTATATTCTTTCTATGTTGTATCTACTGTGTTCTATTTCATGTTTCTACTCCACTTTATTTAAAGGAGACTATTTGAATTTGTAGGGCTTCTAGGGGAAGATCCTATCTTCTTCGAGGAAGCTCATTTTAAAGGTGCTAAACCACAAAACGTAATTTTTTGAAAAATCTTTTACCGTACAAGCTGTTAAACTCTACTACTGCATTATATACTATGCTATTGCACAATCTACGTAGTAAAGTTACTTTACGCCATTGGTTGCCTGGAAGAGATCGCTATGAAGTGATACGGCCGCCAAATTGTGAATTCCATTAATTTGTTTGTCTATTGTTAATTTTGTGTATCCTCTTTTGTGTGGTTGACAATAAAGTATTTATTCATTCAAAAAATAAATACATTATTGTAATAAAAATTGGAGCGATAGGTATCTCAACTTTTCCGAACATACCACAGCATAGATAAGACATATATACTGAAACCAAAAAATTATTATAATTAAAAATTTATAAATTAATATGATGATTTTGACAAACTGTGGTACAAACTGTACCACAGTTTGTCAAAATCATAATAATTTATATGGACTTAGGAAACATACATTTCATCTATCGATAGTATTTTTTAAATCTACCACCGTTTCATCATGAGGTTCCTCTAACGGAAAAGAAACAGGCGAAAGAAACTCCGCAGGTATCCTCTTATTCGTAATTTTTTTCTTAAAAAATTAAAATATTATACAACTGTTTTTTTTTACTTTCTTTTAGAAATAGCTTGGGTGCGATCAACTCATTACCAGTGTGTGACATTCATTTCATATTCTAATAATTCTTTGTTCTGTGTACTCGTATAAAAAAAGTACCTGGAGGACCGAGCTTTGCTCGGTTTTTTTGGTAAATAATGTATTTTGGAAATAAAAAAAAAAATAAAGAAAGCAATGATCAGGTATAGAAAAAAAAGTAAAAAAATAAGTGTGTGATCGTGATACGAACCGCGGCCGTCTGTTTTGGGGCCGCCCGAAGGACATTTTCTAAATATGAAACTTCTAGATCGATGCTTCGCCCTCGAATCTACGCACATGCTAAATTTCATGAAAATCGCTGGAGCCGTTTCCGAGATTCCGATGATATATATATATATATATATATATATCATCGGAATTGCTCGTTTATAGGTTAAAATAATAATAAAATAGGCATTTGAATGATGATGATCTAATCCATTCGATGAGTTGGATGTAGATAAAATGCTTTCACTGAAAAGTTTGGGTAAGTTTTAAAAATTTAATAATTCAAGTAGGCTAGTGTGGTTAAAGTTCACTTGAGTCGTAACGAGGACAAATCCGGCCGGCTACACAATTTAACTAACGCTAAAAATAAAATTCCCTTAAAGCACAAATTATTATTATATAAGACCTGCGTACGATCTATTATGTCCTACGCATGCATGACCTTCCCCACACTTGTACAAGTTGCAAATAGTACAAAATAAGTTCATCCAACGAGCAACCGGTGCGCAGTGGTATCAACGCAACGTCGACCTGTACAGCGATTGCAGACTCCCGACGATTCGCGAATATTTTAAAGACCTGACCAAACGGTTCTTCGATAGAGCCAAACATCATCCCAACCCTCTGGTGGTAAGCGCAGCAAATTACCAACCCGACACAAACGCGAACGTCAACAAGCGTCGCCCGCGAAACGTCCTCATCGACCCGAGCGACGAAGAGGACTTAGAAACGATGGACCCACCGCTGGGGGTCCCGCCGGATAACACTACTCCTACAGTTAGTGCAACAACAAACACTCTAGTTCGCCCTCGCCTCCGAGCACGGCGTGACCAACACAACGCGTACACAAGGTACACCCGCGTTCCGGGGCGGTTCTCACCGCTCCCAGCCACCGATTAGCTAAATGCACAGTCGACGGCCATCGGGGTTTCTGTCCGAACCGCGACCTCGATGGCCCTTAGATAACACACCATACTTAAACGCACGCATGAGAACATGCGTGGCTCTACCCACAGCGGAGGGCCCAAACCCGTGGGTTCTGGCTAGCCCACCGGTTCTGCGTCAGATGAAGCTTTAATAGTCTCGGGGCTGAAAGTAAAAACATCAGTTAATACAAGATACAAGAAGGAGCTCATGCTTCGAGGGCAAATCAATTATGATAAATTTAATTTAATTGTTTACTTCCGCCCTACCTGTAATCAATGCTGCCCTACCTCAAATTCAACTCTAGCTACAGCCCTGTAGCCTTGACCTGGAGTGCATTAATACTTAAGTACGTAATAGTAAGGGATGCCAACTTAGGAATTTTCTTCCTAAATTAAGGAAGAAAAATTTTTAGAAGATAAATTTTATTCGCATTTTTGAAGAAAAAAAACTACACAAAACGAAAAAGAAAAATATAATTTAATAATTCCGTGCTGCATTGGTGGACGTCAGGCCAAGGCTTATGTCTTGTGTGTATATTTTAAATTCTTCCGCCCTAAACTATAATATTGAATGTTATTAATTAATAAAAATATTGTCACTCACTTTTTTTTTTATGTATTTAAGGTGGATACGCGAACGTAAAATATCTAGATATTAAAATACATAGTTTCGAAATCTGATATTTGAAATCGAAATCTGATTCAGATACGGTTCTCAGAAAAAGCGATACGACCCATCTCTAGGCAGGAGACATTTGTCAAATGTCAAAAAGTTAACGCCTTAGACAATGTTAAAAACGATTTTTTTTTTTTATTTGCCTATTACAATTTTAATGTGAATATTATAAAATTGAGAATTTTAAGAACAACTTGACATTGGCGTAATTGTGATAACTCACAAAGCAAGCCATTAATAAAAAGAAGAAGAAGAAGAATGTTAAAAACTGTAAACAACAACAAATGTTTGAAGCGTTCAGTAAAAATAATTTGTTACCGATAACATTTTAGCCAGGGTTTCTCTGTTGCAGCCAGTTGTAACACACATGTAAAGATGCCTACTGCTTTATTACTTGATGTTTCATTATCCATGTCTCGTCCTATACCGACATCAGATGCAACAGAAAACATAACTCGGTTAACTCTCGCTTCAGCGGCTATTAATGCATTTTTAGATTATTTGAGTGTCCATGCGAAATTAGAATATGTAGCATTAGTGACGTTTTCTTCTACTTATGAAGGTAACATTTTGTTTGTTCTTCTTCTTCTAAGGCAGTTGGCGGTCCATATGATATCGCCAATGACACAATTATGATAAAGAAAAAATGGTTGCAAATAACCAAGAATAACTTATAGTTGTTTATTTTGTTTCTTAATTTACCGTCAGCTGGTTTGACAATGTCATTTGGTCATATTAAACTGTTTCTTATAAATTTTAGTGTCAGTACCGTTCACTCGAGACTACGATAGTATTAAAGCTAAGTTACCTCACTTGGAAGAAGGAGATAAAACTTGTATAGAGACTGCATTACTAGGTGTGAATCAACTAATACTTGGAGAATGGGGTTATCAAACACTCGTACAAACTATACTGGTATGAAGCAATTGTTTTTAAAGTTTTATACTTGTATATAAGCTATTATATCTTGTCTTTAATATTTATAAGAAAGTAATAACTGCAACTTTTAAAATATAATAGGTGTTTTTGCTTATTGTTATAAACTAAAAATAGATAATATAGTCATATGTGTGCATAAATATCTTATAAATAGAAAACTGCAGTAGGTAGTTGCCGCTGTTAACTTAACCTTTATTTATCTGGTGGCCTCAAAACCCACAGACTACATGTGATATTTAAACCACTTGGGCTCAACTCTTCAGTATGTTCAGAATATATTAATTGTTATAATTGTTAGATAACAGATGGAACTTGTGGAGTTGGTGCAATCGGAAGGAATCGCATTATTCAAGCACTGCCCTTGCCTCCATCATTTCCTTCCAAAATACATGTACTGCCAATTGTATCACCACATGACTCATGTCTACAACATGGTAATTGTCATCTAGTTTAATTTTTATTGCTTATTTTTATACACTGTTTTGAGAGTTAAATATTTATCATAGTTCTTCTACCTGTAAAGAGAAAAAAACAAATATGTTATGATCAAAATGGTGAAATGTGTTCTCCCCATCTTCTGTTTCAGCAATGCCACTGTATCAAAAAATTGTTGACCTAGCCAGTAACACAGTGAACAATTCCACTGGCAGTATCAATAGAGGGGCAGTATATTGCCCTGATCAACTTTCAATATCTGGTGTAAGTTGTCTTTTTGATAATTATGTGCAACAGTAAATTCCGTTTTGGCTCCTGTAGATACATCTACTTATTCTTTATGCAGTTAAATCATATTATTATCAAATTTGATGGTATGCACTATAATGTTTTAGTTATGCCCATGCCTGTAGAAATACCACTTGAAATTAATCACACAGTGATCTTTTTTTTATGTGAAAAGTTGCCAAACGCCAAAAGTGAATACCGCCGCCCATGGAAATCTGCTACACCCGAGAGTTTGCAGATGTGTTGACACCCTTTTTGTAAATTGGGCTCTGGCTACCAAACTCACCAGACGAAAAGCGAAAGTATTATACTTCCACTTTACGCCGGTCTTCTGTGAGGTTGTGGTACTTACCCGGACGAGCCTGCCCATTCGTGCAACAGCTGAGGCTACTTTGTGGCCCTACCACCATAGACACAGTAATCTATAACAGATTTTATCATGTTGAATACCAAAATCATGTAATGGATTTATACCTTTCATTGGACTAGGTTGTTGCAGCAATGAATAAATTGTGTGAACAACAATATCAGGAGTTTTGGTGCACCCTTAAATGTGGCCAGTTAGAAACTCGTGTGCAACTGTTTCCAGCACCACAACCAGCTTCTCATGAAGGACTTGCTGCTACATACACTATATCTAATCAGATTCATGTTGTTGGATTTTTGCAACAACAGGATTTGGGTAACAAATATAAAATGAATTAAATTTGTTTCATTGTACTCAAAATTTGCTCTACATTATTAATGTACTTTTTTCTTCTATTTTAACTTTTAGGAACACCAATAGCAATAAGCAAACACCTAATTATACCCCAAGCTCAGTCTGGAAACAACACCACAAACAGAGAGAACTTTGGCTCTAAAACACCAACAAAGGTATCAGCAATTTGAATGATAACGAAATAAATAGAAAATTACATCTATAAAAATGTTTATTGCCTGTTAAACCATTTTGATATCTTTCAAGTATTATGTTCATTTAATTTTAATTACAAACCTAAACATTTTTTTAAATTTTATGTGCTACATAATAATGTTCTACATTCTACAATCCTGAAAGTGTTCTGTCTCCTGCATGCATTAGACATTTCTTGTATCCTCAAGATCCCTTAAGCCATGCAGTTAATTTTGTATTTTGTATTAACTGATGTTTTTGCTTTCCGTCCCGAGATTATTAAAGCTTCATCTGACGCAGAACCGGTGGGCTAGCCAGAACCCACGGGTTTGGGCCCTCCGCTGTGGGTAGGACCGCCCATGTGCTCATGCGTGCGTTTAACTACGGCATGTCATCTAAGGGCCATCGAGGTTGCGTTGCGAACCGACACCCCGATGGCCGTTGACTCTGTTTTTCGCTAATCGGGGGCTGGGGGCGGTGAGAACCGCCCTGGAATGCGGGTGTACGCGTTGTGGTCTTGCCATGCTCGGAGGCGAAGTAGAACTAGTGTGTTTGTTGTTATACTAACTGTGGGTGTAGTGTTATCCGGCGGGACCCCCGGCGGTGGGTACGACGTATCTAAGTACCCTTCCTCGACCGGGTCGATGAGGACGTTTCGCGGGCGACGCTTGTTGACGTTCACGTTTGTGTTGGGTTGGTAATTTGCTGAGCTTACCTCCAGAGGGATGGAATGATGTTCGGCTCTATCGAAGAACCGTTTTTCCAGGTCTTTAAAATATTCGCGAATCGTCGGGAGACTGCAATCGCTGTGCAGGTCGACGTTGCGTTGATACCACTGCGCACCGGTTGCGCGGCGGATGAACTTATTTTGCACTACTTGCAACTTGTACACGCACCCTGTGTGGGTGAAGGTCATAAATGCGTAGGACATAATAGGTCGTAAGCAGGTCTTATATAATAATAATTTGTGCCTTAAGGGAATTCTACTTTTAGCGTTAGTTAAGTCGTGTAGCCGGCCAAAGACGAACGCGGTTCTATTACGAGCGTAGTAAATGACATACGCGAGTCGAAAGTGACTCCCTAAGTATTTGACCTTTTTCTCCCAGGAGAGCGGTTGCCATAAAGTGATATTTTCCTCAACTTTCTGCATTGGCGAGGGCCTTTATAAAGATGTGACGGGTAAGTAATGTGAAGTGAATCGCAACACTCTTTTCGGGATTTACTTCTATTCTCCATTTGCGGAACCAATCGCCGAGGTGGTTGGTGGCGCTTTGGAGTCGAGTGGTTAGGGTTGTGGTCTGAATAAAAGAGCGCCGTGGCATCCGTGAAATGCGTGAGATTGACGTGGGGATCTTTAGGTATATCGCTTGTGTAGAGCGTAAAGAGCAAGGGTGAGAGGCAGGAGCCTTGTGGAACGCCGTGAGGCGGCGGCTTGTGGAGAGGGTTCCCTCGACTCGATATCGAAAAGAGCGATTCAACAGGAAGGCCCGAATGGTGTGTTCAAGCCTATCTGGCACATTGAGGTATACACTCAGCTTGTAAGCCGTTGTGCCAGACCTTGTCGAATGCTTTTGCGACATCGAAGAAAAGAGCCTCTGTACTAGTATGTTTAGGGTGAGTTAGGCCTTTTAGGATATGCTCCGTTAGGCGGAATAATTGATTGGGGCCATGCAGATAAAAAATGTATCTTAACAGACTTATGCTATTTTATTGTAATTAAAAAAATTTAAAAACTTTTTTAGGATGGCTCTAATGCAGAAAGTTCAAATACAGATGAAGATATGTCTGATCCCAGCAAAGTACCTAACTTTTGTGTTTTACTACATGGGGCACTTAAGGTAATCTTAAATCAAATCTTTCCTACAAATATCCATACAAATCATGTAATTCTAATGGCATTTTGCGTTTTTGGAATGTTTGAAAAGTAAAAATATTATTAGGGTTCCATACCCAAAGGTAAATAAGAAAAAATGTATACTTTTATTTGTACAGGATTCCATCACTAAGACTCCGCTGTCTGTCTGTCTGCCCGACTGTATCTCAACAGGCTGATTTGCATAAACCGTGATAGTTAGACAATTAAAATTTTCACAGATGACGTTTTTCTGTTGCCTCTATAACAAGAAATATAAACAGAATAAAGAAAATATTTAAGTGGGACTCCCACACAACAGACATGATGCAGTTTTTATAGATACCTTCAGAACCTGTCGTGCGCGAGTCCGACTTTCACTTGGCCAGTTCTTTTGATACATGTTTACATATTATGTACAGGTAGAAGGCATGGCTGCTATAGTACAGCTTGGACCGGAGTGGTGGGGTACTCTGTCTGCATGGTGCGAAGCATCAAGAGCGAGACGCTCTTGTTTGTTACTTGGAGTTTTACGTCCTGGTGCGTCTGCAGCTCCTTGGCTTGGTGCGCTTGACCAACTTGGACCGGCGGATGATGCCAGCACTACTGGTATATTTGAATTATGCTTTACTGCCGCATTCTGGTGTTTCGTTACTACTGGATACTATGGCTTTATTATTACTTGAAATGTTTTTTTTATTAGTAGAAGGGTATTTTTATAGTGTACATTACTATATTATTTTGCTCAACACTAAACATTGTCACAGTATTTCATTGTTTTACCTTTTTTCCATTACAACTTGTATAACCATATGCTCCATATTTAGAGGCATTTTTGTTTTTTGGCAGGTTTATTAGTAAAAAAAAAATTATATTTTTCAGTTTATTCAATGGGTACATGTTTTGATTCTTAAAAAAGACTACCACCATTATAGGAAAGGAACATTAAACTTAAATGCAAAAACAGTTTAGAAACATACATGTTTAGAACAAATAAGACATTCAAGAATGTTGGAAACCAACTCCAATACGCACTGCATAGAATAATGTTTAACAACGCTCCCAAATAAGCCGCAAAAATCAAAATTTCATTTCATATAAAACTAGAGAATCACTCGACATATTTTTCTGTGACATTTAAACTAAAATTTAAATAGAGCAAGCATTTAGTTTAAAAAAAAATCTATAAGGCTGCTTATCTTTTATAGAGGCATTTCCTGTACGTTCCTGGCGGTCATACAGTGGCGGGGGATCCGGCTGTGCGTGGGCGCGACCGCACGCTTTACTCGCCGACGTCCAAAAAGTTTTGCGACACGCGCGAAAGTTGCCTGACAAAACTCAACATCTTTATAAGGTGCTTCCAATTACAATTTTTACTTAAAACATTGATGTAAAATTTGTATTAGCTCAGAAGGCAAAAGTGATAAGCTACCACTATTCACTTTTACCTAATCAACTAAGTTAGAAATTGAAAAAAATTTTGGTTTTTTTTCATGATCACTATACCAACACCAAAAAAATCGATGTCATTCTCACAAACTGGTATTTCAACCATTGATTGTATATTTGTATAATAAATAATCTAATATAGCCAACCTAATGAAATCTGACTGTCCAGATATCCATCATCATTTAATTAACATCAGGTGAACCGCCAGCTCGCTTGCCACTTTCTCACATAAAAAAATTTTGCAATTTTTGATGAATTTTTTTGTAAAAATTGAACCAAACAGGCATATAAACATATAATTTTGATAATGATAGATGTATACACATATTCTATTACAGTTATTTTACATATTATTGTGACAGGAACTTAATCGCCTCCGTCGTGCTGCTATCTCGCTGGGATTCTCCGAGCTGTTGACGTGTGTGGGAAGCGCGCTAGAACGAGAATGCGCGTCGCTACCTACTTCCTCCCCACCGGAATGTGCATTACAATTAGCACATGCTGCAGCCGCCCTAAGAGACCCTCGAACTGCACTGGACATCAAGCATACCTTACAGCCACTTGCTACAAACTTTACTGTTACTTCTATGTCCCATTAGTGAAATCTGGTTTATTGTATACTTTTCCCTTCTTCAATTTATTTATGACTATATAAAAATTATGCATATTTTGAAGAATATTCATATACATTTCATTTATCGACTGTCATTTTTTTAAATCTACCACCGTTTCGTAATGAAACCTCATTACGAAACGGTGGTAGAAGAACCTCTAACGGAGAAGAAACAGGCGAAAGAAACTCCGTAGGTGTCCTCTTTTTTGTATTTTTTTTTCTCAACAAATACATTGTTATACAGTACATATTCTTTTTTTAGAAACAGGAGCGATCATCTCATTCCCAGGGGTTATTATCGTTAGTGTATTCATTTACATTATAATAACCCTTTTTAAAAAGTTTTTCTTTAATAAATTTCTTAAACCTGTTAATAGATAGGCTTTGCACATTAACTGGGATTTTGTTGTAGAAGCGTATACACCGTCCCATGAACGAGTTACTGACTCTATTGAGTCTAGTAACTGGCGTTTCAAGCTTGTGTTTGTTCCTAGTGTTTACATTATGTACATCAGTATTCTTATTAAAATTATTAATGTTTCTATGTACATACATTACATTTTCATATATATATTGAGAGGCCAAGGTTAAAATATTTTTATTTTAATTTCTCTCAAAGATGCATTCAAATTAAGATTGTAAGTTGCTCTTATGGCCCTTTTTTTTTGCCAAATAAATATTGTTTCAACATCGGCTGCATGCCCCAATAGCAAAATACCGTATGACATTATGCTATGGAAATAACTAAAATAAACGATTCTAGCTCTATTTACATCAGTCAAACATCTTATTTTCCTTACAGCATATGCTGCAGAACTTAGTCTGCTAGCAAGTTTGGATATATGGAGGCCCCATTGAAGCTTTGAATCAAGAGTTAAAGAGAAAAACAGTGGTATCCACAAGGCCTAACTCGTCCCCATTTATAAGTTCATTGGCCCCACCCAAGTGTTTAACATTAGGTGTCAATAATTTTATACATTTAGTTTTATTGCCATTTAACAGTAAATTATTAGACCAACGAACTATTTCTGAGCATAATTTAACTCAAGTGTTACAATACGTCGCTTAATTTTAAAGATTAATGAAGTATCATCGGCAAACAACACTATGTCATGTTTTTTTTCCTTCTAAGTAGGGAAAATCATTTATATAAACGAGAAAAAGGAATGGGCCGAAAATCGAGCCTTGCGGAACGCCCAGAAGAACTAGCACCATGAATTACAACTTTCTGAATTATTTTACTTAAATATGATTTAATCAAGTCAAGCGCGGTATTTTTAATGCCATAATGGCGTAATTTCCTGATAAGTGTTTCATGATTGACGCAATCAAAAGCTTTGGAAAGATCACAAAAAACACCCAGAGCAATCCTGTGAATTTTCCCAAGCCTCAAATATATGCTTAATCAGTTGTTCACCAGCATCGGTTGTAGAACGACCCCTTGTAAAACCAAACTGATTTTTGTGTAGTAATTTTAAATTAAAATGTCTTAACAGCTGATCAAGAACAAGTTTTTCGAAAATTTTACTAAGAGTCGGTAGAATAGAAATAGGTCTAAAGTTAGTGTGGTCAGAAGAACTACCTGATTTAAATAAAGGTATGACTTTACTGTGTTTCATCTTATCTGCCGTTTTCTTAAGTTCAATACTGTTAAACATTTTCACAATATCTTTTGAATTTACAGTCTGGAATTTAAAGATTGTGGTGCAAGCACTTACATTTACCTTAAGTAATGTCTCGGCAAAAGCAGGAGAAGAATTCAGGGACAATGTAGTTAAAAAAGGAATCTGAATAAAGAATTTCTCAAATACTTCAGCCGCCTCCTGATTATTCGTTATAACTTTATTGTTAATATTAAGTTGGTAGTCAGAACTATAATTATATAATAGTTTATGAAGTTTATGCAAAAATTCTTACATATTTTTTTCAAAACATTCATACAAGGCACAAGGCGGTCGGTAAACGCTGACAACGATGAGATGCTCTAGCTCAACACAAGCCATTTTCAAATAGGTCATCTGTTACTTCACTCAGCGGACGAAACGCAGAATAATAAAATTTCCACTTGACGCCGGTCTTCTGTGAGGCAGTAGTACTTCCACGTATGGACCAGACCACTCGTGCAAAAGAGAAGACTTGCATGGCTCTACCATAGCAGATACGACTCAAAACCGGAGCGTAGCACAGTCAATCGATACTCAAAGAATGAATATCGTACTAGATGCGGAGGAAGCGAATGAGTTCGGGATTTCCCAGTTAGTTCCCAGCACTACTCGGTCGCTCATCTTCGCTGTATTGTTAATAGAACAAGACCATCAGTATGGACTCAGACGCGAAGACATAATGACTCAGACATTTTTCATGCAGCATAAATTAATTAGCAAGAACCCTCGTAAGACTTAGTTAATATTGTTATTTAATAGCAACTGTATGCTTTCGCTTGTAGCGTAATTAGGAACATCATTTTTGCTTTATTACACAATTATTTTCGTAAATCTTATTGATTAAATAATTGGATTTCTGTCAGCTAATTGTTTTAGTACATTGATTATTTTTGTAATTTAATTTTCATAAGTGATCGATCGATGAACTCCCTGTTATGTTGATAGTCCGTATTTCGTTCATCATAATAAAAGTATTGAGTCTCATATTAAGCACCATTATACAAAATAATACTATACTTTATTTCTTTTATCAATGCTTGCAGCAGAGGGTGTGAGTTCGATCCCCACTACTGGAAAAATATTGTGTGATGAACATAGTGTATTTCCAGTATCCGGGTGTTTGTATATTGTTTAATATGTTTTCATTTACAAAAGAAAAGTATGTGTAAGAATCTTTATCAGTTTTCTAGTATCCATAGTAGGTACAAGCGCTCTTAGTTTGGGACTAGACAACGTTGTGTAAAAATGTGACCGCACAAATATAAAATTAATGTATTAAAATTGGAATTGGAAGAAGCCTGGAAAATTAGATATTTAACTGTAAAGTCTGGTTTGAAAAAGTCATAATTTATCCTAAATTCGAACCTGATGCGTTCATATCTAAAGGCTAAATCGATTGATATTAAACTCAGCGCAAGAAGCATATATTAAACATCAATGAAACTACAGTTGCGTTAACAGAGTCGATAACTTAATGAAAATATCGACATTTCTAAACATCCCTAACCCTATTGGACATGTGTATGCCCGGTGCCGGTAACCGGTAACTTATGTAAGCACATGCGTAAGCATCTCTAGTTAGTTTGTGTGTAAACATTTAAACAATAAATTTTGTTATGACAGATTGACTTGACAGATAGATTCGAACATATTTTAAGAGAGATTGTAAAATAAAATTCAAAAGTTTTTAGATAAATAATGTTTAAATAAATAATGATTTATATAAGAAAACTGTTTAAAGACTGCTTAATAATTAAAGATTTTTTTTAATGGAGATACTTACATATGTTTATGTGCATAATGTTATGTAAATATTTGATTGTTGTTATTTCGTCTATATCACCATTTTTATTAAGCTTAAATGGAGATTTCGTATTTGATGATTCAGAAGCAATAGTCAATAATAAGGATGTAATATCAGAAGATTGGTTAAGTTTATTTGACAACGACTTCTGGGGCACTAATATAAAAAGTAACCTTAGTCATAAATCATACCGACCTCTGACTATACTGTCGTTTAGGTAAGTATCACCAATCTCATAGTATTAATACTCCAGTTACATTATAACATTTTGTTCACAATAAGCAACTAATTATTCATTTTGTTTCAGGCTTAATTACATTATAAGTGGTAATGTTTTAGTTGCTTTTCATTATAAAGTAACTAATTTATTATGTCATGTAATTTGTTGCATCCTCCTTTTGTATGTTTATCAAGTTATTGTCAAAAGATTTCAAAGAAACATAAAAAGTAATTTTGGTCATATTGACATATGTTTTATAGCAGCAATATTATTTGCTGTACATCCAATTCATACCGAAGCTATTAATGGAATAGTTGGCAGGGCTGATATATTGTCAGCTATCACTTTCTTACTGTCATTTATTTTATATGATAAATCAACTGACAGTGTAAATTTTATGTTTTTCTATTTATTTTCTTCAATAAGTTTAGCTTGTGTAGCTATGTTATTTAAAGAAAACGGAATCACCATATTGGTAAGTCACTTATGCATTTGTTGAAATTTGTTTTAAATTATTCAAAAATAATTAATGAAACATTGTAAACCCAGTGAGTCCATAATGTAATTAGTTCAATCTTATTACTGTAAATTATACAGGGTGAAATTGAAGTCATGAGCATCCTTTTAAACTAAGATGATATTAGTTACATTTAGACTTAAATTATGTTTATCGAAAATTATTTATTTATTATTAATGTAAGTATGAAAATCTTCAAGAATCTAGCTAACATTAAGTAAAATATATTGTGGTCACATTACAATACATTTTTGTTGCAAATAATCAGGAAAAATAATACAAAGACGTAACAAAAAAATAGGTCTACAAACTGAAGAGAATATTATGTAATAATTCAAGTTCAAGGTTCTTATGTACGGCCGGCCCTGTACAAAGCAAAAGGCGCGCAGCCGTTCTTAATGTAACTAGTATCATGTATAATTAGACTAAGGAACATAAAAAAATATATTTCGATCGAAATTACCTAAATAAAATCCAATAATGTGTCTGGGAAATTAATCTATCTAATTTAAAAAAGTAATTTATCAAATATTATTGTAATATTTTGACCATGTTATCTGGTATCGTATACAAACATTGAGTTCCAAAATACCGAGCTTAGGGAATCAAACTGCCCAAGCGCAATGGGAATGCTGATCGAGTGCAGGGTTAAGACATAATTATGTAAAAGCTATTTTGTATTTCTCATTTAATATAAAATATCATGTATTTATCTATTTTAAATCTATGTTGTTTTATTAAACCTTTGTAAAGCATTGTTTATTATTAATTTCCAGGGGTTTTGTATAGTGTATGAAGTTGTAAGCAAATTCCATGTCTTTAAGAAACAAAGTACAGATTCCAAAAAAACGTATTTGCTTTGGCATATTAATAGAAGGTCTTGGACCAGGATAGCAGTTGTATCATTGGCTGCTATTTTTCTATTATATGGCAGGTGGTTAATAATGGGTGGAATAAAGCCAGAGTTTAAGCCTTCCAATAACCCTGCAGCTTTTTCTACAGATCTCTTTACCAAGGTTATTTATTTCTGCAATTTTTTTAGGTAGTTTTACGAAATAAAATTGACAATCAAGTGTCTGTTCCAGGTAGCAACATTTCACTATATTTATTTTTTAAACTTTATACTGCTTGTGTGGCCTCAATGGCTTTGTTACGACTGGTCCATGGGGTGTATCCCTCTAATAGAAAGTGTACTAGATTACAGATTAGTGTCAGTAACTTTACTTTATTTATATGGATTTTTATACATTAGGACAATTTTAAAGAGTGGAGAATCCTCAAAAAGGCAAGTGTGCTTTCACTTTCATTAGTTTTTAATTGCACCTAAATTTTTGCAACTTCTTTCGCAAGTGAAACGTCAATCAGGCAAAAAACTGACATAACGCGATCACTTCATCGAAATAACAAATTGTTTGAGACAGCTGAAACTCATTCCAACCCTTTGGTGGTAAACCCAACAAAATTTTCCACCAAGCCTTTCGGAAACTTCTGTGTATGGACAGTACCTGTTAGATCCGGTAGAGAAAGTGGACCGAATCATCCTGGACCACCAGAGGTCCTGCCCGGCACTACCCACACGTACTGTTAACTCCACAGCACATTGCAGTTCGTTCTTTTTTTTTTGATGAAACATTGCCAAACGAGCAGATGGTTCACCTGATGTTAAGTGGATACCGCCGCCCATGGACGTCTGCTACAGCCGAGGGTATGCAGATGCGTTGACAACCTTTTTGGAAATTGGGCTCCGGCTACCTCACTCACCAGACGAAACGCGAAAGTATTATACTTCCACGTAGTATTATACTTACGCCGGTATTCTGTCAGGTCGTGGTACTTACCCGGACGAGCCTGCCCATTCGTGCAACAGACGAGGCTGCTTCGTGGCCCTACTACCGTAAAAGTTCTTCTGTAAATTAGTCTACTATAAATTTAACGGTTCGCATGTCCGACCTCGATATTGTACGCATGCATTGTGACTCTGGTTAATTAGCGTAGGGTAAGCTTTTGGAAACCAAGTCTTTCCTCAATTTCTGTGCCCGATAATGCACAAACATAAATGAACAAAATGATTTAATTAATTTGATTGTTTAATTCCGGTTAACATACACGACTGTTTTAATTGTAAATTATTGTTTGTATTTCAGGCTCATGATCTTGGCAACGTCGTTGCTAATCATACCTTACTTACCAGCAGCCAACATTCTGTTTCCAGTTGGATTTGTTATCGCCGAAAGAATCCTCTATTTACCTTCAGCTGGATATTGCTTACTCATAGCAATCAGTATTAATAAATTGTGTTGTACGAATAAGAAAGTGTACAAGGTACATATATGTTCATACACCTTTAAATTTTGCATAGGTAAATGTAGGTTGAACGTCTAACATTTATTTTATTTCGTTTTTAGGTTGTGATTACAGCATATGTTTTCTTGATTTCAATATACTCATTAAAAAGCTACCGGAGAAGTTTCGATTGGCAAAGTGAATATAGTCTGTTCATCAATGGACTGTCTGTTTGTCCGTTGAATGCTAAAGTTCGCTACAATGTAGCAAAGGTTGCTGATGCACGACAAAATACAACTTGGGCACTTTTGGAATATAAGGAAGCAATAACATTATACCCTGAATACTATCAAGCCATGAATAATCTGGCAAATTTGCTTAAGAATCAAAAGCAATTTGATGAAGCAGAATTTTACCTTCGCAAAGCTGTCAGTCTCAAGTAAGCTTTACTAAATTTCACTCTTATTACTATATTTAAAGTCTAAAATGGTGACAAGTTAAGGGCGTTAAGGGCGTTGTAGAAAAATTCATAAAATGTCGATACTAATGTATCATACACGAAATTATGTTTTATATAAATTAGCAATATTGTTGTTTGTAGGGAAGATTTTCCTGCTGCGTGGATGAACCTTGGTATTGTCCTCGCAAATACGAAGCGGTTCCATGAATCTGAAATGGCCTATCTGAAAGCGCTACGCTACCGACGCAACTACCCGGACTGTCTATACAACTTGGGTAATTTGGTAAGTAATAATATATCGTCAGTTAATTTTTAATATGATTAGATCTGTACAGCGATAGTTCTGTCTAGATTTTTATTTAAGGAGATGGGAAGCGAGCAAACGGTCCACTCGATGTTTTATTACTATTACTAGCGGCCCCGACAAACATTGTCCGGTACGCACGACTTAAATCAAACAACAACTTATAAATACAAAAGAAATCAAAAATAACGAATTGTAAATCTAAACCATTCTCGAATCGACCTGAAGGCACAAAAAAATTCATTAAAAACGGGCCAGCCGTTTAGGAGGAGTGCAGTGACATACACACGTACAGAGGAATTATATATATACACAGCCTGTCGTTACCATCGCGACAATAAATTAACACACGTCTAACGCTACTTGCCACTAATCATAAAAAAATATTAACGTTAAAAGAAATCCATAATTAAAAAAAAATATTTTTCAAACAAACTAATTAAGTAAAAAAGAAACAAAATTTGTAACATCCTATACAACTATAACTGACTGATTCATACATTCAAAGACTTTTTCATTCGTTGCCACAGCGTCGCATTACAAGCCTCTCCTTCTAACAGTATGTTTTGTCTCTTTTAAATTCATTCAACCCATTCATTATGCTTTGTGACCTTTACAAATGAACTTTACGTTACAGTTTTATACGTAAGGGTGTTCTAAAATTCTTTGTTTTGGAAAATTTAATAACTGTAAATATTGATGTTTAAAGAATGTAAATTTTTGATACAATTTTAAAAAGTTATCCTCTATATGTGTGTTCATTTAATTTCGCCACAAACAGGAAACGCAAGAGTATAAATATGGGAGTATTTGTACTCTTGCGTTTCTCTTGTAGCCGGTCAACTGCTAGTTGAACTCGTACGCCGAGGGTTACGTACCAACCCATTATACCGCCATGATAAAATTGGTAAATAAACACCACCGATTTTCTCAGGAACGGGTGGACCTGGCAAGATGATATTTACACCGGGATTTAAATTCGGGTTGCTCGAAAATATCTATTGAAAAGTATAACTTGGTATTATAGATTTTTCTATCAGGAATTGACTAATAAGGGATTCAAGAGTATTCAATTATCGTAGAGAATGTTTTAGTTTTTATTATATATTATAACTCGAACTCAACAAAATTTTTAGGTATTCCCTCGATAACTCGTTTAAACATTATTAAATTATCATGAACTTGCATATTTTCATTGTTCACTTAAAGCGTTCGTATTTAATGTGATATAGTTACGTTTTCTTTTCAATCGATACGTTGGACACAGAAAACTTATTGTAAAACCATTGAATTTTACAGTACTTAGAAATGAACAATACGGATGCTGCTTCAGTAAGTTGGTTTGCTGCAATAAGTATAAATCCGAAGCACGCATACGCATGGACAAACTTAATAGCGATGTTGGATAATACGGGTGGGTAATCATTGTGTATTATTACAATATTTTTTTTACTATTCAACGTTAAATTTATAAGCATTAATCGCGTTTCGGAAGAAGTGAAAATAACATATTTCTAAACTCTAAAGTATAATTAGTATGCAACATTTGGACCGACGTTACGCAAAACGCCCTCAACGCTTTACGTGTGCAGTGTGTTTTTTATGTGAAAAGTTGTCTAGCCAGCAAGTGGTAACGTTAGATAAATGTTATGTGGATACCGCGGCTCATAAAAAGGGCAAAAATATTATGTCCGTTGTATGGGAGACCCACTTAAATAATTTTTTATTCACTTTTTTTAGTATTTGTTGTTATAGCGGCAACAGAAATACATCTGAGAAAATTTCAACTGTCTAACTATCACGGTTCATGAGATACATAAGCCTGGTGACAGAGGGTCAGACAGAAAGATAGATAGGCAAACAGAGAGACAGACAAACAAATAGACAGCGGAGTCTTAGTAATAGGGTCCCGTTTAACCCTTCGGTATGGAATCGTAAAAAGAGTACATTTGCACAATATTTAAAACTAGGTTTCAGCATCCGTCTCCGTTTCCGCTTATATGTTATTTTTATATCCGTTTCTGTTTCTGCTGTAATGTTACTTCTGCTGCAACACAAATAAGAACCCTCCAATTTACTCGCTTTTTCGCGATTTCTACTTTCGCTACTTGTTGGGGGCCGTCCATTAATCACGTGAGGCTCGAAAGGGGGGAGGGGGTTTGGCAAAAATGACGATACATTACAAGAGGTGAGGGAGGGTGTAGTAAGATATCAAGTGTATTTATTTTTTCGTCAAACGCGCGATTTCTAAACCGGAAGGCAGTGAAAAAGTATCATGGTCCTTAACCTCAGAATAAAATTAGATTATACCCTAAATCTGTATTTAAAGATTAAGATAAGTTAGATAATTTAAACTAAAAATTATAAGATTCTTCGTAGGTACCAAAAAATACACGTGATTATGGGTGGAGGGGGGGGGGGGGGGGGGGGGGGGTTTAGTCTTAAACCTCCCCACGTATCACCAATTATATATTTATTGTTTTACTTTTCCTTAATTTAACCTTAGTTACCGCGATATATCTTCTGGAAATGATTTTCAAGTTAGAGTTCAACCACAAGAGTAACGTAACTTCCGTTTGTGTTATAGGTCAAACAGACAAGGCATTAGAAATAATACCGAAGGCGCTAGATGAGTTGCCCGAAACGCCTTCCCTAATATTTGCTATTGCAAATGTTTACGGTAGAATAAACCAGTTCGAACTAGCAGAGGCGCACTTTAAAAAGGCCATTGAACTGTTCAATCACAAAGTTCAGGCCATCCACTTCGCGAATATTGGTGAGTAATAACATTGCCTGCAATACAGTAACTTATAATTATTTATCTAGCACAAGACCCAATTTCAAATACTTTATATGCCTAGTATTGATTATATCAATATAATCAATACTATGTATTTCTAGCTACGTCTTTCATACCTGCCTTAATAACATCACTCGCCCCTCATATTTTTGTAACCAATACAAGGTTATGTAGTAGTCTTTACTGTATCATAAATTCTATAACTTTAAATTTTTATAGTTATTTTATGGTATTATAAACTGCCGAAGAACTGTTGACAACCTTAACTATCATAGTATCCAAAAAGGCTAAGCTGCACATAATATGTATATGAAACTGATATGAAACTGACTGATGCACGGCTTTGCGGTTTTGCGTTCTTTTCACCTTTAACAAACCCGAACTTTCAACCCATTTCTCTAAAGTTCTATCTCGTGCATGAACTAGCAATGTATACAATATAAAAAAATATGTACGGCTATTATTTTCACAAAATAATATCGTACCGTCCTAATTGAGAAACGTTTAAATGAAGGATCATCTTGAAACATTATTAACTTCAACAAAAAAAAAATTCTTAAGGAGAAAGATATAAACAACCGTCCTTATAAGCGAAAAAGTAGACCACATATAAACTTACAGAAGTATCAAAATGAAAAATATCGTGATATTATTCTGCTTCATCGTAATGTATTTTATCCTTGCAGGAGTTTTGTATCACCGTTGGAAGAAGTATGACTTAGCCAAACTAATGTATAAAAGAGCATTACAAATAGATCCCATGTTTAAAAGCGCCAAAAAAAACCTAGCGCTTCTTCTTAATTAAAGTTTTTACAAAGGAATTGTCGTGTTTCAATGTTTTTACATTACACATCTAACTACACAAAAAGATACACACAACAAACTATATAAAAGGTTTTCTTGAAAATTGTTGGTATCGTATGCATTTTTAACAATTAAAGGAAAACTCAGTACCGAGGATTTTTTACTTAAATAAGGTTATAATTATAACATAACAATAAACGTAGGTTCATGGTATTTACACCCGATGGATGTCCTCTACGTCCGGTGTCACCTACTCATTTTCACGAATAATACATACTGAATTAATAAAAAATGAGCTGGTAAGGCAACACTCGATTTAAGTAATCTGTAACATCAGCATATTACTATCCTCAAACAAAATTAACTTACGCCCGGTTTCTGAAACATTGATCATCGTAGAAGTCAACTAATCAGCTGTCAAATTGATTGTCAAATGTCATTTGAGCTGCCAAAAGCATTGGTAAACTCTCTGAATTGATCAGAATGATCTTCTTAATGATCAGAATGACTTCTATGATGATCAGAGCTTAAGGAGCTGTACGCAGTGAATTTTTTACTATTTGGGTGGTGAAGTATGAAGAAACGGAGGAGGGATAACCCCGCTTAGCGGGGCGCAGCACGTCAGTTAGTCATTCCACTTCGTGCTCTCCATAGATAAGACATATATACTGAAATAGATGAGACACTCGATTAGAAGTGGGCGATACAAATCGTATCAGATATGAAAACTAGATATTAGTACAATATCCGAATATCGCTTACTGGCTCGTTCAATATCTATGTATCTTACAATATCTGATATTTCCGAAATCTGATGTACCGTGCTCGCTCGCTATACCGACACGAATCGCGATATCATACGCGTATGCCACATTATCTGATTTTATACAGATTTCGAGAGACAAAGCGCGTGAGATACAAATACTCACTAGTTAGAGCGGGACGGCAAGCAATGCACGATATCAGATATCGAGAGACAAAGCGCGTGAGATATAAATACTCACTAGTTAGAGCGGGACGGCAAGCAATGCACGATATCAGATTTTTAAACAGATATTATGAATAAGTTAAGTAATTTTGAATCTTAACACCATGCAAATAAGATCCGTTTTAATTAAATACAAATCATGGTATCAAAGATTACTACAACGATATTATTATATTTCTATTGTTTTGTTTAGCCTTGAGCCGTAACGGGCGACAAAGCGCGCAGTTAAGTAATTTTGAATCTTAACAGCATGGAAAAAATCTCTGTTGCATATAAATACGAATTACGGTATTAACGATGTCTTTAAATTTTGTTTAGTCTTGAGCTGGATTGCATTGATACTAAGCACGTAATAGTAAGGGATGCCAACTTATTACTTAAGAATTTTCTGCCTAAATTAAGGAAGAAAAATATAAATGGAAATTTTTTAGGAGGTAAATTTTTTGTGAATATTTTTATTAGTTAAATTTTATTCATATTTTTGGAAAAAAATAAAAGTACACAAAAAGAAAAATATAATTTAATAGTGTTGTGCTGCTTGGGTGGAAATCAGACCAAGGCTTATGTGCTTTGTGTGTATATTTTAAATTCTTCCGCCCTAAGTTATAATACTGAATGTATTATTTCTTACACAAATTATAAAGATATTGTCACTCATGATTGCGTGTTTTAAAAATATGTTAAAGTCAATTATTAAGCGATATATAAGATGTTAAAATAAATCGTTTTTATATTACTTCAATTTCTATTTTTAATGAAATTCTTAATTTTGTCAGGTAATGTTTTAATTTTACCTTAATAGTATAAAAAAAATCGTGATTTTAAATTCAGTAAGTTTTTTGAATTTAGTCAATTTTAGTGGGTTTTAGAATTTATTTAGAAGTATTCTTTTTGAACAGTTGGTATCACTGGTAATAGCTTTAGTTATGTTTAAGTAACTTGTAAAAGTAGTACTTAAGATAGCCTATCTAAAATACTAGTCTTCTGATGGCCTTAAAGGACGCGATTCCGGGGCCGTTAAACAAAAAAAAAGTTTCACTTCACTGTCATATGCCAATGTCGTTGTAGATTATATTTTTATGTTAGTTTTTTAAAGTTATAAAATATAAACGAAGGAAATTCAAATATCGATACATAAGACACAATATTTAAATTATAAATAATGAACTTTACTCCAGAGCTAACAGCCCTGCAAGGGGTTATGATATCTGCAGACAATGTTAATTCATTTTCTAAATTAACAGCAAAAGGAGGTAATCAATACGCATTTTGTAATTGCTATGATTAAGAAAAATCATGTTTTTAATATTTCACTTCTTCTAACCATGAAATTAGATTTTGTACATATTCAACTCGATTGATTGTACACACTGTAATAGTAACATAGAATTTGCCTTTTAGGTAATGAAGATGAAATTGAGGAAGTTGTTTTATGTGTTAAGAATTTTTTGGTGAAAGAGAAGTATGCAAACATTAACACATTAGAGGAAAATGTCATTAGAACTACACGTAAATTTGCATTTTACATCATTCTCAATGCAGATTTAAAAATTTTGGAAAGTATGGTAGAGAAGGAAGGCGTAGATTTCTTGATATGGACAATACCAACAGTTCCAAAATGTTTAATGTGTGAACTGTTGTGGAAACTTGATATGGGTAAATTTGTAAATGAAGTTATTGCATTCTGCTGTCCTGAATTGAGTATAGAAATAGCAGAATCCTTAACAAACTATATGAAATATATAAGTCCCATGGAGAGTGCTGAAAAGCTTAAAATTATTTCAGGCTCATGTTATAAACTTATATGTAGACTCAACTTTTTTAACACTAATGAAAAGTACTTGAATCCTGCTTTAAGCATTTTCCAAAAATGCTTAAAATATTTTTCAAGTCCCCCTAATGTAGGGAAATTAGAAAGCTTAAGGAGAAACCAGTTATATAAATATATAGGTGACACTCTGTATAAAATTCTTCTATTGCTTTATGAGTGCTTTGAAGAATTTAATAGTATACAAAAATTCCAACTGAGTAATGATATTGATATATATATGTTAACATACAATGAAGATAGTATTGTCACTAAGGATGATTTTGAAACAAGTAATTGTAAAGACATAATTCTAGATTGCCTTCATAAGTGTCATGAGGCTTTACTGGACATATTAAAAGAACTTGTAATGGGTGTCAGTGTTGACATATTTTGCACATGGAGTGAGCTTAATGACAATGGAAAAAGCATGCAACAAACAATTGGAGAATTATGTTACAAAGTGCGTGCTGTACTCATGACAGTTGAAAGTGTTAGAGATCATCCAGTTGTTGAAATGCTTCAACAAATTTCCTGTAAACCTATACAAATAGAAGATGTTATTAACACTACCAAGACTGTGGATATAATTGAAAATATTAATAATAGCCAAGATAAACTTTTATGGCTACAGGCATTATTAAACAAAAATGATTTATTTCAAGATACTATGTTAATAGAAACCATTACCACGAACTTGAATGTTTTGAAGGATAATGATTTTTATAAGTTATACTTGAAATGCATTGAGCATATAACAAACTTTAATGATAATCATGAAACAGTTAAACTGTTAGCTCTTAAAACATTTAAACATTGTGATATCATAACAAAACAGAAAATTCTAGGTGATACTTTTACTAATAATTGTTTTAGTGATGAAATGAAAACAACTGATTTTGATATCATGATAATAGAAATATTTAATAAACTTATTGCAACCTCAAATGAAGATTTATCAGATGTTTTAACTGTTTTCATTCAAAGTCCAAAACTTGTTTATAGGAAAATGTTCACTTTAGCTACAGAAAATGCACAGCAGAGTATGATTATGGGACGAATAATGAAGTATTTAGAGAAATATTCTAACTATTACTACAAAAATGAAACTGAACCATGTATGATAAAAACATTGCAAGAAATTATTACCTCTGAATTGGATTGTGTGGCAAAACAAAATAATTTTTTAACTTTTGTGAAAGACATGAAAACCGATAACATTATTTCAGTTATAACACTTTTACTTCTAGTTATAATGCCAACTTTGCATGAGGCACTACTCAATAGAAAGTTAATAATTATTAATATCCAGCTTAAAATGTTGATTGAGGTCATTGATTTAAAAGAGTTATTAGACTACAGAGCGCCCATGCTGGCAATGATCGCTCAAGTGTTAGAAGTAGTGAGATGGAAAATTCACACATTCAACACCCTAGGACCATCATGTTTAGAATTAGCTATAAAATTGCAGAAATTAGTCATGGACACATACAAAAATTGTATTCCTGGTAAGGATTTCCATAAATTTTATTTCATATAATATTTTTTTTCTGGGAGAAGGTATCAAGCAAGCTATTGGTTAAACCTGCTGTTAAGTCATAACTGCCGCTCATTGAAATATGCAAAACTCATAGGGCTGTAGATGCATTGCCAGCTTTAAATGAAATGGGGCCCCGGTTACTTCACTCAGCAGACAAAATGTTGCCACTTACTTACTCATCTGACGAAATGCAGAAGAATAGCACTTCCACTTCACGCCGGTTTTCTGTGAGGTTGTGTTACTTTCCAGTCAGACCTGCCCATTCAAGCAACAGCAAACTGTTGCATGACCTTACCACAGTTACTAAACTTACGCATCTTATTCTTTAATCTTTAAGAAAAAGAAAGTTCCTGGTTGAAGAGTAAACTAAAAGACAGAAATCCACTCAACATGTATTACTATAGAACATTGTGGAATCCCTCTGGTGAGACATACTTTGAGATTTTGACGGGAATACCTATGCAAGAAGAAATATTGGTTGATAAATTAGCATTTCATTTGTCACAAGTAGGTATAAAGATATTATATTAATTAATATATTTAAAACCTATTTCTCTTAAAATCTAGTAAGTCCGGATTCTCGGCTTCTTTAAAAAATGCCAACTTTAACTGAAATCAATAACCTATTATTTCTCCTTTGGATTAAGAGCTACGAAAATCAATGATGATGTGATGCAATCAATTTTCTTCATTACCCCTACTTTTAACCAACCATTTTAATGGTTTTTATTTAGATACTACCTTCTACTATCCTGGATGAATGGTATCAATTATGGGAGAGTTTCGGATTAGACAACGACGCTAAACTCAATATATTTCACGGAGCATTGTTTTTAATATCGGCTGCTGAGAAAGATAATCGCACAGTAATAACATGGGCGTGTTTATTACATTGCTATAGAAATTTCATTCTTTTAACAAGGGTAAGTCTGGTTGGTTTCATTTAATTGTAAGTTCTAGGCCGCACTTACCGCGACAAAGCGAATATTCGCGTTTTTGCTATAAAAATTCAGCACTTCAAGCGAAACCGCGTGCATATCGGGATGTTACGAACTGCAAGAGAACGGATGTCATTTCTCATGTTTGGGTAAAATAAAAATAACTTGCAATGTTCTTGTACAATCTACGGTAAAAAAAAGAAGCCCGACTCTCTTATGGCATATTGTAGGTAACAGACAACAGTCTTAGTAATAGGGTTACGTATGGTAACCCTGAAAAGAACAGAAAGTAAAAAGGATCATCACCTTTTCCATGTTTTTTTTCTTATTTTTTTGAAATTGCACGACATTGTAATGTTCATACTACCCTGTTCATCATCATCATCCTACTGCCCCTATCTCTCCTAGATGGGGGCACAATATGTGAATCATGTTGTAAGCAGTTTTTGCTGTGTCTTTTACGACCGGCCGCCTGCCTGACGTCAACCCTCCTTGGTAAATAAAGTCCCAGATCTGGAAAAGTTATCTGTATCCGGTGTGGGAATCGAACCCACGACGCTCGACGCCGTAGCCAATAGCTTAGCAATAGCGCCACTAAAACATCACATATTCCATGTTCATAAATATACGAAAGCGAAGGTGAGGTTTTTTTAGTACGATTACTAGCGCGATGGGTGCCACCTAAACCTAATAAGAGTTAATATGAACTAAATATATAAATGTAATAAATAAATAAATATTGATGGCCCTCATGTGTCAATTCTAAACTAGGTAAAAACAATTAAATAAATTTATTTTAAAATTTCCGGATATCCTACACAGAGTTATGCACACAAAGCCGACACTCACTAATCCTCACATGATTCGTCGCGATTGTTTACGACGGCTCCAGCTATATTTTTTTATTGGTCTGAGTGTGTAATGTCCAACCATCAAAAATTTTGATATTTTTAATTCATTTCCATGCTTTTACACCTACTCCAAAATGCTGCATACAGACAAATTGATAGATAGATATATGATTGTTTTCAGCACAAATATGTTGCAGAACCTTTGTCAAATAATCAAGTATCTACAATGATTAATAAAATAGCTGTAGTTGCCAATTCTTTGGAAGAAGGTTGTATAGAAGAGTTTCAGTCAGTTGTATTACCACTGTTGGCCTACATTGCTGAAAGAAAAAATGACTATACACTTAATGTACCTGATTTTGTGGAAAATACTATAGAGAAATCTGTGTTGACAAGCCTGATACACAAATTGTTTTCCAATGAAATAGTTTGATCTTATCAAAGGCTTAATAATGATATTTTGTCTTGTCCTAAACTCAGATTACTGTGATCAATAAAACAACATATATATTACATTATTTTTTATTATTTATGTCTAAGGTAAAAATTTGAAATTACAGTGCAATTTATAAGATTGGAAAAAATAATAGTTCAGTGCTTAGTAAAAAAAAAAAAAATATGCATTTTGAACTTAATCAATAAGACAATTCTCTCCTATACACGTTATTCTTACCAAAATTTCCACAGTAGTAACCTAACTGCTGGCACTTCTGACATAGTTCCTTTTTATGTTCTTGATTCACCTTTGATGCCATAATATCAGAAGGCAATAATGCCCTCTGAAATAGATTCACTACAGAATAAGTCATGCAAAGTATTTCTTATGAAATTAAAAGTTAAACCAATATTCAGTTCTCAATTTTCAAGTTGATAATTCAATGTTCAATTAAAGACTATTTTTTAATGTTTTATTTGCAAATATCCAGTTTAATTTTAATAAATGGGTATAAAGAAATGTAAGATATTTTTACCTGATTATGGGGATAAACAGGCCTCTTACACCTGATGCAAATCTGATAGCTGTCAGGCCAGCAAAGCCTGCTTTTCCATGTACGACCACATGCAGAACATTTATATTCACCAAAAAGTGGTTTTAGTATTGTCTGTGTTTCTCGTTCAGGCAAAGGCTTTGGTAAAGATAGAGCTCTCCTTTGGGACTAGAACCAAGTATGAATATCAGTACATTAAAAAAATTGTATATGCAATATTACTTGTTATTTTTGTTTCATTAGTAATACATACTGTCGAAGTTCACATGAGTTATTTGATTTATGTTCGTACATGTATATCCTCAATCTTAATATTTTACCTATTGTACTTTATTTACTAATATCAAAGAAATTTTCAACAATACACATACATACTATGGGTACGGTGAACTTAATATATTTGTTTTTGCATCTAGAATTAACATTTTGCTCATGCGGCTAAAAATATTTAAATAAAAACATAATTTTATTAAAAATTTGGTATGCAAACGAAAAAATTGTCACTTAATGATATTATTAAAAAAAAAATTCGACAACAATGTATGTATTATATCATATGCAGCACATCATGCCGCACTTAATTATACTTACAAGTCGCACGTCAGATACAGATTCCGACGACCAAAAACACCCCATTTTAGCGGTGACACTAAGTGTTTTTATCTTCTGAATAAACTTCTTATAAAATCATATACTACCCGACCGATTGATTAGGGATCAATTTAATCAATCATCATTTCATATAATTTTTTTATTTTTACACCCAATTACTCCCAATTATAAACATGAAATCATTAAACTTTCAAAAAGTTATGGCATATTCTTATCGCAAGTCCAATAAAATTTACAGCAGAAGACGGGTGCCGTGACCGTGCTTGTTCGGTCTTAAATAAAAGTTTTGCAAGTAAGCAGAATTCCAATAGTAGGGAGTTTCATGTTAAGTAATACTCAGGGCAACAATGCTCGCTTTGAAACCCCAGAGTTAGAAGACCCGTATAGAAAAAAGGTAGTAATAAGAAATAAAATAACAGGTAGGTACTTTAATAATACCTAATGTAATACTACTTTTACAAACAAGCACTTATAACTGTCGACTCTAAAACACAACAGTAGTACGTACTACGTATAGATTGCATGGCAAGTCCCGGTAACATGAAGTCAGTGTTGACTCATTCACTATTGCTTAAGGAATAGGGTTGCAATTATTTCTTCGGCTAATAATATTTTTGCTAAGCTGCTGTTTCGTGTGTTGTTTTATTCGACCAGTGTTAGTACTTTGCGGCATTTTTGTCGTATTCATCATAGACCTGGCATTAATCGCATCAAAGGAAATTCTCTCTCCACATTAAACCAATATTTATACAGCGTGTCGTTACCATCGCGACAATAAATGAACACACGTCTAACGCTACTTACCAATAATCATAAAAAAATATTAACGTTAAACAAAATCCATAATTAAAAAAATATATTTTTCAAACAAACTAATTAAGTAAAAAAGAAACAAATTTTGTAACACCTATACAACTCGCGCCACAGCGTCGCATTACAAGCCTCTCCTTCTAAGAGTATGTTTTGTCTCTTTTAAATTCATTCAACCCATTCATATGCTTTGTGACTACAAATGAACTTTACGTTACGCTTTTATAGGTAAGGTTGTTCTAAAATTCTTTGTTTTGGAAAATTTAATAATTCTGTAAATATTGATGTTTAAAGAATTTAAATGTTTAATACAACTTTAAAAAGTTATCCCCTATATCTGTGTTCATTTATTGTCGCGATGGTAACGACACGCTGTATAAACAGCTTTGATTATATACTTGTCTAGATACCACATTAGCCGTACCGAACGGCGCAAAAACGTCTACTAAAATTGGTAGTATCGCATTTCCATTGAGTCATTTTTTGAATCACTAACGGATAACATGCTCACGAAAAATAATTAATTATGCCGGTTTGTGCTATCAAATCGAGTTGAAAAGATGTGGGAAAATCGTATCCTAATACCATTTTCATCGATAAGTTTTGTTATTTAACCACTATTAATTTAAGAAAACTCGATTTTTTAATACGTTATTTCGTAAGTTAGTCTGGTTAGCCGGTGCTGTCAGTTTATTACTAAAAAGTTATGGGGAAACTATGGAAGACAAATTAAAATATCATTGCATCATCTTTTGTTCAGAAAATTATTATTTTAAAAATTACACTATTTATTTAATCAGTACATTATAATTTGCCTACATAAAATGAAAGAAACCCGTCATGCTCTAAATAGTATTTTGTTAGTTCTTTCTTTAATTTTGGATTTCAGATTTCCTTCGGATTCCGTACTTGCAAATCTATATTATATAATGCAAGATTTTAGAAACAGATTTTGATGTATAAAGTAGTATATTTTTTTCATTATATTTTTGTTTTTACTAAAATTAAACGAAGACAGACAACGTTTGAAGTTGGTCAAGTTCTCATGGAGTTTCGGTCAATCTCTCGAAATGCCAAGCTATATTTTTTGATAGTTCAAGAATGCTGACAAAAATTGATTAGTCCGTTGTACCTTCTATACAATACAATAGTAATTCCTTTTTCAATATAATTTGAATTTTATTAATTATATATTATACTAGCTGCTGCCCGCGACTACGTCTGCTTAGAATAGGCTGAAGGCGTAATTTTCAGACAGAGAAAGACAGATATAAATAAAATATGTATATAATATAATAATAATAATAAAATATCTTTATTCACATAGACGCTTGCGCGTTCTTATGAAACGTCAAAATTTTACAAGAAATTAACACGTTCGTAAGTTACCACCGGTTCGGAAAGCAGTTTCTGTTGAGAAGAAACCGGCAAGAAACTCAACAGTTGCTCTTTTTTAAAAAATCAGTTTACAATATAATAGTACAGGTACAATAGTCTTGTTTTAGCCTACGTGAGTATCAACAGTATTAACCCCACACATTGGCGTCGTCAAGATATTCGGCAATAGTATAATAGGCTTTAGCCATAAGTTTACTTTTAATTTTTCGTTTAAATTCATCAAGTGGCAGACTTAATATCGACTGTGGGATTTTATTATACATGCGCACACTTTGCCCCATGAATGACCTGTTTACTTTTTGTAGGCGAAATAATGACGTAGTTAGTTTGTCCTTATTTCTAGTATTTAGTTTATGTCTGTCACTATTCTTTTGATAATTATTAATATTCTGTTTAACATACAAAATATTACAATAAATATATTGAGACGCAACAGTGAGTATATTAATCTCTTTAAAAAGATCTCTGAGTGTATTCCGGGCTCCGATGTTATAAATTGCTCAGACAGCCCTTTTTTGAATAATAAATATTGAATTTATATCAGATGCACTACCCCACAACAAAATGCCGTACGACAAGATGCTGTGAAAATAACTGTAGTAAACAAGTCTGGCAGTGTCGATGTCTGATAGCTGCCTAACCTTCCTAATTGCAAAAACAGCGGAGCTTAACCTATTCGCAAGAGATGATAGATGGGGACTTCATTGAATCTACCGTGATTCCCAAGAATACAGCGAACTCAACAGGATTAAGGGTTACGCTATTCAATTTTAAGCTAAAACTTCGAGTTCTTACGTTGAGAAGTGCAAAAAGAAGGCATTTGGTTTTTTAGCATTTAACACCATATTATTAATGGTAAACCAGTGGAGGCTACGCGAAAGTGCACTATTCACGTCGTCATAATTCGATACATTTCGGTCAACCTTAAAAATAAGCGATTTGTCGTCAGCAAACAGTACAACATCACATAACTCACTGGCATAAAAGGGGAGATCATTTATATATACTAAGAATAATAATGGGCCCAAGATTGATCCTTGTGGGACACCCATTTTCATGGGGGACCCTGCGGAATTTACATCATTTATAGATACTTTTTGAATTCTATTACTAAGGTAAGGTAAGAGATTGAGGGCGATGTCACGAATGCCATAATAATCAAGCTTTAGAAGGAGGGTTTAGTGATCCACGCAGTCGAAAGCTTTTGAAAGGTGCAAAAAACACCTATTGCATCTTGCGATCTGTTGTCGATCTGCCTTTAGTGAATCCATATTGCTCATTGTGAAAAATTTTGTTCATATTAAAATGTACTAAGAGCTGATTTAAAATTAGTTTTTCAAAAATTTTACTCAGAGATGGCAATATGGAGATAGGTCTGTAGTTTCCTGGATCATTTTTATCCCCACTTTTGAAGACGGGGATTATCTTACTAAATTTCATAAGATCTGGAAATATTCCAGAATCTATGCAGTTGTTAAAAATATTAGCTAAATGTGGTAAATTAGCAATATATGGCATTATTGTGCTCATTAATTTTATGGACATGCCCCATAAATCCCCTGTATTCTTAAGATTAATAGAATTCAAAACTTTTATAATATCATAAGTATCTACATGATTAAATTTAAATGTGTGTGGACAAAAGGTAACATTATTTCTTAAAACGTTAATTGCATCTATGGGAGATGATTTTAATGTACATGTGACATTAACTGCAATTTCTGAAAAATAGCTTTCAAAACTACTTGCAATTTCATTATCCGTTGTTATGGGAGTATTACCTATAAACAGTTTTATAGGTTCCCTGAATATCTTGGGTCTTCCAGATATACGGGTAATGATGTCCCATGTGGCTTTAATTTTATTGTTTGAATTTATTATTCTATTTCTATATCTTTATTATTATATTCGACTTCTATATCTTTATTTAACATATGATGTGCCACTTTGTCTTTAAAAGAATTTATTCTATTAGTAGCGACTGGTCTACACTTGATCTTATGTTTGCTTGTAATAACTTTTTCATTTATTGAAAATTTTAAACCAAAGTGGTCAGAGCTCAGATAATTTATAACATATTTATCATATACATTATCGTGGCAGAAAACGTTATCTATACATGTGGAGGATGAGTTAGTGACACGAGTTGGTTCATGAAAAAGATTATTAAGTTTAAATGAACTAAATAAATTTAAAAGTCGTTTACTAAGATGTGTCACTTGTAATAAATCCACATTAAAATCTCCACAAACTACCTACTACTGATTTACTACTTGAACAGAGTATTTTAAGTACATCATCCATTACACACTCAAACAGATCGAAATCACCTGAGGGGGGTCGATACACGCATACTATAATATACTGTTAACTCTCAACGCAGGATAATTCTATAGATCGTTCGACAGAGTGTGCTACTATATCCTGTCGATTTTTACAGACTATATCAGTTCTTACTAACACAAGAGAGCCACCGCGAATAGCATTTGCTTTTACGAACGAACTTAACAATTTATAGTTCTCTATATCTATAATATTAGAATGCTTATGTAACCATGTCTCTGTGAAGCAGATGACATGGATGTTAAATCTTCTAAGAAACAGCTCAATTTCAGGTTCTTTGCCACCTATGCCTTGTATATTTTGGTGTACAATATTTAATTTAAGTGGCTTAGGTGTTGTCTCAATGTTTAGTTTAAACTAACATTGTTTTTTGTAAAATAATTAAAGTAAAATGTTCTTAGTTGTACAATGTACAACTGGGTTTTGTATATTATATGCTACTAAAGTAGCAATTATTTTCTTATAATATAATG